TGAAACATAGCCATCATTTTTTATTACAAACAATTCATTTGAAAGTTGAAGAAGCCAAAACAGTAAGTTTATTCAGGTATACACAAATACAGTTACATAGAATTGTCATACATAGCAGCATATGTGTAGAGAACCTGGGATAACACAAAAAAGTCAGACAGAGTGACTTATTTCCAGTGGGGTCCTTTAGCTGGTTTATAAGTTTGGAAAGGTCAAGTCTGACTCAGAACTACTTTACAGCCGCCTCAGAAGAAACAATGAGAGCAAAGGATCAGGCAATTCAACTGAGGAAGGAAGGAGGAGAGCTCAAACAACGATAAAGAAGTCTATGAAGTGCTGATAAAAACGATTCAAACATAGCTTCTCAGTGGAAACTGAGGCAATACCAGAGACTAAGGAACTGGGGTAGACAAGTACTGGATGCCATCCACACAACAGGCGAAGAGGTAAAGAAACTTTCTATGGACCTGGATACATCAGAGCAATGAGACCTAAAATGTCACCATGGATTCTGTGAAAGGGTACATAAAAAATACTGTCCAAACCACTAGGTGTGATCTATAATAGGTCACTGGATACAGGACAGTTACCGAAGATCTGGAAGACAGTAAATGTAGTCCTTATATATAAGAAGACAGCAGGCATTAAACTACAGATCAATTTCTCTGACATGTATACCTTGCAAGGTAATTGTAGTATGCAAAGAGTACGTAACCTTTATTCGGCGCATGTACACACTCTTATTTACAGGTTATCTCCCCCAACCAGCGAACCAGGTGACTGAGGGTTGACGATGGGGCCCCGTCGTTCAACCAGTACCCAGGTTCCAGCCAATGAGAAGATGGCTTTGGCAATCGCAGAGGTTATGTGGGTACCACTCTCCTGTCTGCCCTTGTCATTCCCATTCTAGAGCTGGTTGAAGCACAGTCTGCTCTCTAGTGGCTTCTATTCTGCCTTGCTTACCGTGGAGTGCAATAATACCTATCACTGTACATAGTGCATATAGTGTACATACCTCTGTTCTAAATTGGTGAAGGATAATATAAGTCAAAACTTTTCTGCTGTTTATTTTGCTCCCTTTACACCCAGGATAACAGGCCATTTGGACTCCTGGGTTGCAATAGTAATGGAGGAACTTATCAGAGGGAGAGTGGTAGAACACTTGCCCATAATGCCTAGGCATAAGAGGCTCTTTGTACTGCAACCCATTATTGTAAATACATAACTTCAATGTACTATTTGCATTATTATAATAATGGAGGAGCGCTAAACCTGTTGGATTATACAGCGCATCTGGGGGGGATGGAAGGTATTCAGGCTCACTTCAGGGAACCGGAGCACAGATCCAATTCCCTAGATCAAGAGCCCCTCACCAGCATCAAGGAACCTCCCTTGAGGGGTTTGTACTATTTGCAAATAAATAAATAAATTTGAATTTGAATTCAGAGACGTAGTCTGGTTAGCAACGCTTTCGCCTCACACACTGAGTGTCCTTGGTTGAATCCCCGGTACGGGTGGAAATGTCGGGTGTGTTTCCTTACACCTGCTGTCACTGTTCACCTAGCAGTAAGTAGGTACCTGGGTGTTAGACGACTGGTGTGGGTGGCATCCTGGGAGACAACATTGAAGGACCACAATGGAAATAAGACAGATAGTCCTTGATGATGCACTGAGTTTCTTGGGTTATCCTGAGTGGCTGACACTCCGGGGTTAAAAATCCTAACAAAATGTTATTTTAAATTATCTAACAATAACCTGCATGAGTTTAGGGATGGCAAATCTTGTCTTACTAACTCGTTAGAGTTCTGTGAGAAAGTCACAAATGTGGAATTTTTTTTTAGACTGCAATGGTGCTTGATATAGTATTGGGGAAGCCAGGTATAGATACTCAAAAATTAGGGACAAAGGACCCCTCAAGGAAGGTTCCTTGATGTTGGTGAGGGGCTCTTGATTTAGGGAATTGGATCTGTGCTCCAGTTCCCCGAATTAAGCCTGAATGCCTTCCACATCCCCCCCCAGGCGCTGTATAATCCTCCGGGTTTAGCGCTTCCCCTTGATTATAATAATAATAATAGGGACAAAGGAATTAATGTACAATTGCTATGGATCCCATCACACATTGGATTACTCCTTCATGATAAAGTTGATATGTTAGCCAAGAAGAGTACCCAGAAGGAGAATGTAGAATATAACTTTGGTATAACTGTGTCTAGCATTAGGAATAATATTAGGAGAGAAGTAAATAATGAAAATGATTATTATAGGAATGCAGTTAGAAGCCTGAGTAGATCTATAACCCACTATGATAACATGAACGTAGATAAGTATGTTTATGGAGCAACTTGCAATGTGAACAGACTGACTGATGTTGTAGTGGCCAGGCTTAGGCTTGGTCACAAGTACTTCTGGCAGTTTGGGAGACACAGATGATGATCAAACTAAATGTAAATCATGTGATCAGGCATATGGTCACTCTCTTGAACACTGTGCTTAATTGTCCACTCATTGAGGAATACAGAGACAGACAGTATAATAACCTATGTGACATGTCAAGATATCTTATTAATGAAAATAAGATACCAGATATACTAAGCAAATTTCCTAAATTTGCTTGTAACAGATAAGTGAACTATAGATATGTAGATATAAATCCATATGTATTCCTGTTAACCCTTTGGGGCCTAGTTCCTAGGCCTTTTGTGTATCCATATGCTCTTGCGCTACCGTCCACAGGATGGATATGGGATGCACAATAAACTAGCCACTTCGGTGGCAAAATCTAATCTCTAATTTGATATAGTACCTCAGCTACAAAAACAAGGAATGTATTCTGGTGAATTCAATGTATATTAGGGAAACCATAGACATGTACTTACCTATCTATGGGTGCAGGGGTCTATTCATAGCTCCTGGCTCCGCCTCTTCACGCTGTATAGCCCTTGTGGCTTAGTGCTTCTTTTTGATTATAATAATAATCCGCCTCTTCACTGGTCGTTATTAAATCCACACTCCCCCTGCTCCATGAGCTTTAGCATACCTCTTCTTAGTTTAGTTTTTTAGTTTAATATATTTATTATGCACCCCATACCCATCCTGTGGGTGGTAGTCAAAAGATTACAGAGGTACATAATGGGTCCAGGGACTGGGCCTCAAAGTTTTGATAGCTGAGCAAGTTACAAAGGTAATGAACTCACAATTAACAAAGGTAATGAAATTACAATTTACAAAGGTAATGAACTCCAGGTAGGTCTGGTCACAATCATGACAAGTTACAAAGGTATTTACAGATTACAGAGGTACGTAATGGGTCCAGGGACTGGGCCCCCAAAGTTTTGATAGCTGAACTAGTAGGTATAAAGGTAATGAACTCAAAAGTTACAAAAGTAATGAATCCTGTAAGTATCGTTACTTACGTTTATACATGGCTACGATCATGAACAAATTATAGAGTAATAAGCAATTCACACTTCCACGCCCGGTCACAACTTAAAGCTATGTATGGTTCCTGCCTCTACCACATCACTTCCAGATAACTGTATGACTGAAGAAATACTTCCTAACATCCCTGTGACTCATGTGGCTCCTACTGTATAATAGATTGATGATAGGTGGACTGACTGATGTAAGTCTCAAGTCAGTGAGGTTCTTTTCGTATTATTGTTCACAAACTGCTAAAGGACAGTCCAAGATTGCAATCCACTTCCTTAGTGAAGGGATATGGTTAGGTCAGCTTTGTCAGGAAACAGCTTGAGTGTTTCCTGATGCTGGGCAGTTATATGATGAACCACAGTTGGAGCTTTTGGTCATGTGACTAAGGCCTTCCACTGGCTTACCCCTTCACCGCTTTAAAAAAAAAATGGTTATGCTTCATAAAAGGCATGACTACCAAGCCATCAGTTGTACCATGACTTTTCTGTTGCATTTCTCTATTATAAATGAACAAATAGGTATACTTTATTCTGTAATATGGTACACAAAGCTTAAATAATACACTGATGGTACATTATTATTATTATAATCAAGGGGAAGCACTAAACCCGTAGGATTATTGAACATTAAAATGGTATAAAATACCGACAGGTTGTTAGGTAAGACACATATGCAACAGTTAGGTATCTTTATTTCGAAACGTTTCGCCTACACAATAGGCTTCTTCAGTCGAGTACAGAAAAGTTGATAGAAGCAGAAGATACTTCTCGGTACTAACTGTTGCATATGTGTCTTACCTAACAACCTGTCGGTATTTTATACCATTTTAATGTTCAATCTGTCAGACACTGCAACACAAGGGTATCTCGGTACAGACCTACAATCAACTTCGACAACCTCTACTAGTGAGAACGGCTGGATTTGAGAGGGACCTGACCTCCCAACATCTGAGTTCTTACCTCTTCTAGTGACCTACGTCTCACCTCTTGGCGCTATATAAGCTCCATCCTGTCACTTCATCTCCACATTGTTTCATTCTATGGAACAATGCTCTTCTCCAGACTGAGGGACTGACCACCTCAAAACTTTAAGGGTGATGGACTGATTACATCGTCTTCAAGTATCTTCTGCTTCTATCAACTTTTCTGTACTCGACTGAAGAAGCCTACTGTGTAGGCGAAACGTTTCGAAATAAAGATACCTAACTGTTGCATATGTGTCTTACCTAACCGTAGGATTATACAGCACCTGTGGGGAGGATGGAAGGTATTCAGGCTTAATTCAGGGAACTGGAGCACAGATCCAGTTCCCTAGATCAAGAGCCCCTCACCAACATCAAGGAACCTCCCGTGAGGGGACACTGATGGTACAAAGACATTGGTGTATAAAATACACAAAGTTTGCGGAATGCATTACAAATACACAAATTTGTATATGTTCATAATAAGTAAATTTATTTAGGTATAGGTACACATAAGTACAATTATCATATATATAGTTTATCATGTATAAATTTCCCAGGATAACCAAAAAAAGTCAATGTGAGTTATTTCCATTGGGGTCTTTCTATTCCCACTAAGAGATCAACTAACTAGCACACACTCAGTTATACATTCTTTTTATTCCCAAACATCCATTATTGTTCTTATTAATACCACCACAGTAGCAATATTATACCCTGAACCATTATTAACATTATTACTGAAAAAAGGAACCATAGAACCAGTGTTGTAATGTTGACAAAGTTAACAAGTGAGAAGTATGAACAACCTCACTTGCTTATCTGTCCTTGTTACCTTTACATTGATTAATACAAGTTAATGTGTTGATGATATACCAAGTTAACACCGGTGAACAACACCTGTAGTGAACAACACATGATGTATCAACATAGAGGTGAGTTAACTTTTAAGGTTTAAATAATATTACAGGACCACAATGGAAATAAAGTCACTGACCTTTTTTCTGGGTTATGGTGAGTGACCAACACGTATGTAACTATGTATGATAATTTATGTAATTATGTGTATTTGACCTGAATAAACTTGAATTATTAAGGACGTTGATATATGGTTAATAATAATAATAATAACCAACAAGATAAATTAGACACTTGTTTAACACATATTAGGTTTATTTCGACACAGGTACACAGAAGTACAATTATGATATATAGTGTAAATTACTCAGGATAACCAAAAATACGTCAGTGACTTACTTCCATAGCAATAATAATAATATTTATTTCTACATGTACATGTACAACGTGTACAGACATAGCTGACAGTGATATACTATGTAGAAAAAGGTGGGTTTAGCGCTCCCCATGATGATAATGACTATATAGAAAGCCCCTTGTTATGTGGAGTATTTTGGGTAAATTAGGTCAATTTTATTCCCAGGATGCGACCCACGCCAGTCGACTAACACCCAGGTACTTATTTTACTGCTAGGCAAATGTGGACAGCAGGTATCTTAGGAAAATATATCCTAAAGTGTTTCCTTAAGACACCTGATAAGATAAAGTTTATTTCTTTGTAAAGGTTAGAATGTGTAACTGCAATTTTGATTTGCTAAGTACAAAGAAAGCACTATCATGCCGGGGCATTTTGGGCAGACTAATCCTAAGACACTCGTACCGGGGATTGAACCACAGACCTTGGTGTGTAAGCTGAGTGTGCTAGCGATCGAGCTACGGTACACCTCAATTGGGAAATCTCTATTGTGAAAACATTTTGCCAACCAGTGGCTTCCTCAGTCCACTACAGAGAAGAATAGTTGAAGATCAGAAGGTGATAAGTCCCTCAGCTTCCAAACTGAGGGACTGATTACTTCAAATGCCTGCAAACTTCAATAATTTTGTTGCATTATTTTTTTAAAATTTCCAGTGGTTGTAAGTAGCTAAGTTTATTTAGGTATAGGTACACGTAAGTACAATTATTATACATAGTAACATGTGTACACTACATAGGATAACCCAAAAACAGTCAGTGACTTATTTCCATTGGGGTCCTTGAATTATTCCAGTGCCTCACAAGACCTACTGTGGATACCCGAAAGTGTGAATAGTAGTTAACCCTTTATATATGTCATTTTTCGTTCACATACATACCTATGATAAAGTTCAATTAATAAATTATGTATAATAAGTTGAGAATTAGCACTTTCAGTGATGGGAAGAACTTCATGGCTTCTCTTAGGTTTTGAATATAATACAGTATTGTAATAATTTAAGTGTAACTAACCAACCAAGAGGGTAGTGTATTCTTTGTTGATCAAAGATGCTTTGTTTCTGTGGTAGTGTGTTTTTGTTTTCTCCTACTTGATTATGATGGTTGGTAGATGTAACAAAATTAAGTTAGGTTATACAAATATGTATAATGGTACAGTAATGGATTGTGATATTTGTTGTAGTGTTTGTCCTACTATCATTTGCCCTGATAAAATTCTTCTCTAATCTGCTTTGCCTAGGAATAAAATACATTTTAAATAAATCTTTTATTTTCAGATTTAGGAAGTTGTCAAGAGAGATATTGACATTTTCATAATTCAGGTGAAGCTTTAACTACAGTATGGCTGAAACAAATGAGGATTCAGTGGAAATATTAAAAGAGTTGCAAAAAGAAGCAAAGGAAAATGAGAAGGGCAAAGAGGAACATCTTAAAACAAATAAGACATCTACTGAAAACAAATTTCTAGGAAAGCATGAACCTGATAGTGATGAGTCTAAGGAGGCGTTAAGCAAAGGTATTAACTTTGAAGAGGATGAATCTGTTTTGGTAGAAAGCAAAAACCCACCGGATAAAAGCGCAGAGTTAAGTTCTAACAAGTTATGTGATAACACTTCAGAAGCTTTAAAGAAATTACAGTTTCATGGTAAAACCCAGACTGCCACACTTAAAAATATAAATGTTATATCTAAAACTTATTTTAGAGATGAAGATGATAAAGGTCACATAGAAATGAGTGACATTGAAAAAGCTAGCTCATTAGAAATGCAAAATGAAGAATTGAGTAAATTAAGTGATAAAAAGGAAATACATGACAAGACAATAGGTAAACATATCTTAATGCAAAGCAATGAGTGTGATAATCAAGTAGAAATAAAAGAAGTTAAAAATGAAAATGTTTTTGACGGTCTACAAATTTCAGAAGAAAAATGTAAAAGCACAGCTAATATACCTCAAGGTGATGATAATAACAGTGACACAAGTAAAAAAGAGTGCGAAGAAAAGGAGGATTATCTGGAAACGGAAGGAGAGGAAGAGGATTCGGAAGACTCTCCTTCACACACTGCAAAAGAAACAGAAACAACAGAAACGGAAACTGAAGATTCTGATCATGATTTTCCCACTGAAGGATTACTGAAGGAACTACATTTTCTTAATGCCAGGTTTGTTTCTCAGTGCTTATAATAATAATAATAATAATAATAATAATAATTTTCAGCATGATACAATGTTTGTACAGAGATGGGTGACATTTAGTTGTTCATGCAAAAAGCCTGTAGTTATACACAGCATTTCGGGCAAATTAAGCCTAACTTAAGACTACAGTGGTGATTTGCTTTTAGTGCTGTGTCTATCCTTTCCTTTAGGTTAGTGTTAACAGCTAGTCAGATAGCTGACATGTGAAATAACTAGCATGAGAGATGCAGAGTGAGAAAAAAGCATACAAAAAAATTTATATTTGTTAGTTGGTAACCAAAGTTAACTTGGGTGCCTGGGGAGGAAGATAACACGAAAACTTGTTCGGATTTTTAACCTGGAGGGTAAAGTATTAAAATAATTAAGATTTTCCATTTGACAAGAAAATGCAGAGTGATAATATAAAAAATGTTCACTTGTGGAAATATCACCAGTGGGGTTCCAAAATGATCTATACTTGCCCCTGTAATGCTTTTAGTTTATATAAATTACTATAAGGAACAGAAAATTATTATGAATTTGTTAGCAGATGCAAAAATCTTGTATTAAATAAATAATAGTTAATTAAATATTTAAAAGATTGGATAAATTGAGTATATGGAGTTAGAGACAGATGATTGAATTTAATGTTGATAAATACTGTACCATATAATCTGAATAGGAGAAAGTGAAATTAGACCACATAAAGAATATATATAGACTTTATAGCAAAATTCTGGGAATATCTAGGATTTATTATTAATTTAAAATTTGCCTGGTTGCATTTGGCAGTTGCTGTAATTAGAGTTTTGTATTTAACACTATTTCCCACTACCCTGGTGTTGGGAGGTACAAGATCCTAAGTATGGAGAAGATAAGAGAAGTGTATAAAATCTGATTACCCCTTATGTTATTGCAAGGGATAAAGGGCTGTTTACTATTAATGGGAGCCATGCATTATTTGCAACTTGACAGTTTTAATAATGACAAAATTATTAATTTACAGTGTTTTATTTGAATACAGCTGTGAAAGGCCACTAAGTAAAAAGAATTCTTTGCAACAAATTCATAAAACCCCCAAGAAGCAAAGAAAATTGGATTTTGACTCGCCACCAGACTCAAGTTCCTCTGTTACTTCAGGAAAAGTTGTGTACAAGAGGTTATCTTCAAGAAAGAGAACTAAAACCTGTGCTCCATCATCTGGCAAGACCTTTCAACAGGTGACAGGTTTGTTTCCATTCTCTTATAAAGTATTATATGCAATGAGATCATAGTAAAGAAGTGATATCACAATATGCAAAATAACCACTGTGAAAATAGTGAATTTCCAAGCGTTTTCATGATTTCTTACATTTCAGTGTCAGAAATCATGAAAATGCTTGGAAATTTACTGTTTTTTCACAATGGTTATTTTGCACAGTACAGTGGACCCCCGGTTAACGATTTTAATCCGTGCAAGAGGGCTCATCGTTATGCGAAATAATCGTTATGCGAATCAATTTTCCCCATAAGAAATAATGGAAATAAAATTAATCCGTGCAAGACGCCCAAAAGTATGAAAAAAAATTTTTTTTACCACATGAAATGTTAATTTTAATACACACAAACTGAAAAAGGCATGCACAATTAAATGACACTTACTTTTATTGAAGATCTGGTGATGATTGATGGGATGGGAGGAGGGGAGAGCAATATCTTCTTACTGTTTAGAAGGGGAATCCCCTTCCATTAGGACTTGAGGTAGTAAGTCCTTTTCTGGGGTTACTTCCCTTCTTCTTTTAATGCCACTAGGGCCAGCTTCAGAGTCACTGGACTTCTTTCGCACAAGATATCTGTCCCATAGTGGCCTGTACCTCTCGTTCCTTTATGACTTGCTAAAGTGTTTCACAACATTGTCAGTGTAATAATCACCAGCACGGCTTGCAATAGCTGTGTGAGGGTGATTTTCATCCATGAAGGTTTGCACTTCAAGCCACTTAGCACAGATTTCCTTAATCTTTGAAGTAGGCAACTTCTTCAATTTCTCTCTCCCCTCCTCCGAAGCAATTTCCTCAGGTGTGGCCTCTTGCTGTTGAAGTTGATCTAGCAGCTCATCAGTGGTTAGTTCTTCATTGTCCTCCTCCACCAACTCTTCCACATCCTCCCCACTAACCTCCAACCCCAAGGACTTTCCCAATGCCACAATGGATTCCTCAACTGGCACAGGATTCTCAGGGTTAGCCTCAAATCCTTCAAAATCCCTTTTCTCTACACATTCTGGCCACAGTTTCTTCCAAGCAGAGTTCAAGGTCCTCTTTGTCACTTCCTCCCAAGCCTTACCTATAAGGTTTACACAATTGAGGATGTTAAAGTGATCTCTCCAAAACTCTCTTAGAGTCAGTTGAGTTTCTGAGGTCATTACAAAGCACCTTTCAAACAGAGCTTTTGTGTACAGTTTCTTGAAGTTGGAAATAACCTGCTGGTCCATGGGCTGCAGGAGAGGAGTGGTATTAGGAGGCAAAAACTTCACCTTAATGAAGCTCATGTCCCCATTAAAGTCGCTCTGACACGTCTGTAGGATGACAGGGGCATTGTCTAACACCAGGAGGCACTTAAGTTCTAATTTCTTTTCAGTTAGGTAATTTTTTCAATTGGGGGCAAATGCATGGTGTAACCAGTTATAGAAAAATTCCCTAGTGACCCATGCCTTACTGTTTGCCCTCCACAGCACACACAAATTATCCTTGAGGACATTCTTTTGCCTGAACGCTCTGGGAGTTTCAGAGTGATACACTAATAAAGGCTTCACTTTGCAATCACCAGTAGCATTGGCACACATCAACAAAGTAAGCCTGTCTTTCATAGGCTTATGTCTGGGAGTGCCTTTTCCTCCTGAGTAATGTAGGTCCTGCTTGGCATTTTCTTCCAGAACAGGCCTGTTTCATCACAATTAAACACTTGTTAGGTTTCAGTCCTTCAGTTTCTATGTACTCCTTGAATTCCTGCACATATTTTTCAGCCGCTTTGTGGTCCGAACTGCAGCCTCACCATGCCTTATCACACTATGGATGCCACTACGTTCTTAAATCTCTCAAACCAACCTTTGCTGGCCTTAAATTCACTCACATCATCACTAGTTGCAGGCATTTTTTTAATTAAATCGTCATGCAACTTCCTAGCCTTTTCACATATGATCGCTTGAGAGGACGCTATCTCCTGCTATCTGTTTTTCATTTATCCACACCAATAAGAGTCTCTCAACATCTTCCATCAATTGCGATCTTTGTTTCGAAAACACAGTTGAACCTTTGGCAAGAACAGCTTCCTTGATTGTCTTTCTGGTGCCCACAATAGTAGCGATGGTTGATTGGGGTTTCTTGTACAGCTTGACTAGGTCGGCTATACGCACTCCACTTTCATACTTATCAATTATCTCTTTCTTCATCTCTATAGTAATTCTTACCCTTTGAGGTGTAGGGTTGGCACTAGAAGCTTTCTTGGGGCCCATGGTCACTTATTTTCCAGAAACAGCACCGAAAATACTGTAATAATACGAAATATTCCGAGTGTATGCTTGGATGTTACCGCGGAGGCTGGCTGGTAAACAATGGGACGGAGCGGCACATGTGAGGCTGGCTGAGGGCACATTGGACGCGTCTCGGACGAAAATCGGTATGCGGGTTTTTAATCGGTATGCGGGGCAAAAATTTTCCGATAAAAGTAATCGTTATGCGGAAAAATCGCTATGCGATGCCATCGTTATGCGGGGGTCCACTGTATTATATATACAGATTTGGTTTTACTTTTTTAAGGAACAACACAGAATAATAATCATAAAACTCTTCAAACAATCCTCCACTCTAATCTTCATCAACAAAAGTAGATTTTAACACTAATGTCATGCAGAAGGTGATGAAGAGGAGTCAGATGAAGATGATGAAGGCAGCCTTACTATTGTAGCACAGGAAGATAAACGCAAGAAGAGAAAAGGGGTGATTTCTCCACCCAGATCCAAGAAAAAAGTGTGAGTATTTCTTATCACCCTTCAAGGGTGGGGGTGCCTTATTGCTTGTGAGAATTTTTCCATTCAAGGAATTAGAGCTTCCCTCCCCATCCTTGGAGAAAACCTTGTCGCTTACCATTTTCCAGATTCTGTATAACCCCTATGGGTTATATTCAATGATGTTATGGTACTTGCCCTAAATGCATCCTGGTCTTAAAAATTTGACGTAGTGAATTTTCATTTAAATAATTTGCAGTGAGCAAGGGACTTTAAAATGGGTTCTTATAGGCTTTGAAGAACTGTCACTGTCACTACTTTTGTGCTTTGTGGCCATTATTAAGCAAAATTAAGAGTTATTTTATGGCCTTAGTAAACCACTGATAAACCATATCACGGTGAGCATTGAACCCGTGACTCACTTGCCACAAGTTCAATCCCTGCCCGTGGTGTTTGTTTGTAGTTGTGTTCCTACGATTTCATTAGTCAAACCACTGATAACTGAAACAGCAGAAACTGAACTTCACTGGGGGTTCTGCTGTATATTGAGTTTCATCTCTGATTCTACTGTAGATATGATCAAACCTCTGATTGATTTTAGTTATGATGTACATTCCATGAAAGTCGGAAAAATGAAAGTGTTACTTATGATCTAAGAATAATAATTTTACATAACTTAATTTTACCAAAAAATTCCAGCCGTGGTGAGAATGAGGATGTTCCTCAGGAAGTCATAGAATTAATACAATCTGGTATTGATGAAGTGCTTGAAGAGAAGGCAGAACGGACACACCTCACGGCTATCCATGTTAAGAACATTATAAAGGTATGGTACATATTCAGTTTTTTTTTTTTCCAATGAGGCAGGGTGACCTAAAGAGAAAAACTAAAGTTTGTCTTTTTAAATTTTAAATTTAGTATGGAATGTTCCTGGCATTTTAGTTGCCTCTTACGACATGCATGGGTTACGGAGAAAGAATTATGTTCCACTTTCCCATGAAGAATATAGTTACATACATCATTATTACAATAATACCTGGAGTTTACCTGGAGAGAGAATGACCTGAATGCAAAGCAACGTCTTTTTTAGTGTGAGAGTGAGCCTTTCCTGAGAGTGTGGCTTCATGCACACACTTCTCTCAACATTTTATGTAGATTTTTGACAGAGCAATGCAAAGCTTTTCAAAAAAATATTTGCATTCTGCTTTGGATGTCCTATAAAGTAGTCATTGTCACTTGTCCGGTAAAATGAGTACCTTATAGTACGTCTTAAATATAATAATGCTTCTTTTTGGAAACATAAATTGAGAAAGAAACAGGGTAGGATATTAAGAAGCATGTGCAGAAAGAAGACTATTAGAGAACATGATTTCACTTAAAAAGGCATGTCATATATGGAGCACTTGGGGCTATGGTAGCCTTGGATATGTGGAGCACATGGGGCTGTGGTAGCCTTGGATATATGGAGCACATGGGGCTATGGTAGTCTTGGATATATGGAGTACATGGGGCTATGATAGTCTTGGATATATGGAGCACATGGGGCTATGATAGTCTTGGATATATGGAGCACATGGGGCTATGATAGTCTTGGATATATGGAGCACATGGGGCTATGATAGTCTTGGATATATGGAGCACATGGGGCTATGATAGTCTTGGATATATGGAGCACATGGGGCTATGATAGTCTTGGATATATGGAGCACAAGGGGCTATGATAGTCTTGGATATATGGAGTACCTACAAAAGAAAACATAGTGTCAGCTTCAGATAATTCATTATATGTATTTCTTTGGGGGAGGGGGGCCCAGTAAACCCTCGATATAATAAGACTTAAAATATATTGCAATGTTTATTGGAAAAGGCGTATGACAGGGTGGATAGGGGGGCAATGTGGCAGATGTTGCAAGTGTATGGTGTAGGAGGTAGGTTACTGAAAGCAGTGAAGAGTTTTTACGAGGATAGTGAGGCTCAAGTTAGAGTATGTAGAAAAGAGGGAAATTTTTTCCCAGTAAAAGTAGGCCTTAGACAAGGATGTGTGATGTCACCGTGGTTGTTTAATATATTTATAGATGGGGTTGTAAGAGAAGTAAATGCGAGGGTCTTGGCAAGAGGCGTGGAGTTAAAAGATAAAGAATCACACACAGGGTGGGAGTTGTCACAGCTGCTCTTTGCTGATGACACTGTGCTCTTGGGAGATTCTGAAGAGAAGCTGCAGAGATTGGTGGATGAATTTGGTAGGGTGTGCAAAAGAAGAAAATTAAAGGTGAATACAGGAAAGAGTAAGGTTATGAGGATAACAAAAAGATTAGGTGATGAAAGATTGAATATCAGATTGGAGGGAGAGAGTAAGGAGGAGGTGAACGTATTCAGATATTTGGGAGTGGACGTGTCAGCGGATGGGTCTATGAAAGATGAGGTGAATCATAGAATTGATGAGGGAAAAAGAGTGAGTGGTGCACTTAGGAGTCTGTGGAGACAGAGAACTTTGTCCTTGGAGGCAAAGAGGGGAATGTATGAGAGTATAGTTTTACCAACGCTCTTATATGGGTGTGAAGCATGGGTGATGAATGTTGCAGCGAGGAGAAGGCTGGAGGCAGTGGAGATGTCATGTCTGAGGGCAATGTGTGGTGTGAATATAATGCAGAGAATTCGTAGTTTGGAAGTTAGGAGGAGGTGCGGGATTACCAAAACTGTTGTCCAGAGGGCTGAGGAAGGGTTGTTGAGGTGGTTCGGACATGTAGAGAGAATGGAGCGAAACAGAATAACTTCAAGAGTGTATCAGTCTGTAGTGGAAGGAAGGCGGGGTAGGGGTCGGCCTAGGAAGGGTTGGAGGGAGGGGGTAAAGGAGGTTTTGTGTGCGAGGGGCTTGGACTTCCAGCAGGCATGCGTGAGCGTGTTTGATAGGAGTGAATGGAGACAAATGGTTTTTAATACTTGACGTGCTGTTGGAGTGTGAGCAAAGTAACATTTATGAAGGGATTCAGGGAAACCGGCAGGCCGGACTTGAGTCCTGGAGATGGGAAGTACAGTGCCTGCACTCTGAAGGAGGGGTGTTCATGTTGCAGTTTAAAAACTGTAGTGTAAAGCACCCTTCTGGCAAGACAGTGATGGAGTGAATGATGGTGAAAGTTTTTCTTTTTCGGGCCACCCTGCCTTGGTGGGAATCGGCCAGTGTGATAATAAAAAAAAAATCTGTAAATTGTGTGTACAGTAGAATTCTTTAGTGCATTTTTTGCTACTTTTTTAACATTTTTATTTAATGGATGCTCAAGCAGTCCCCATATTAGTCCATTATACCAAGGGTTTACTGCATTTTTAAGCAGCAATGTTATACTAATGCTGTGCTAGTGTTTTGATAATACTTATATCTGTTCAGTGACGGCTTGTAGCTAAAATTAATGGAGGTGCTACTTCAGAAAATTTTTAGCCATTGTTTTAATATTGTTTAAAATAAAAGAACCGAGAAAACTATGAATTAAATAAAATAGCTGGAAGCATGATAATCATCTAATTCTACACTTTATCACATTCAAGAATACGGTACATGGCTTTTAAGCACAACATGTTGATGAGTCAGAAAGAAACACTACCTTACATTTGCACAACAGGGTCAGCACTGCGTCAGCGACAGTGCTGTCTCTACCTAGTGTGCAGCGTCTCATCTCGGACATGTGCGCATGCGCACAACAGCCAAACACCTAATCACTGGAACTGTGAAGCACACAGTTCCACATAAGGATTTTTGTAATTTTTTCATGTACAGTACTAGGGGATGGCTACTGACATTAAGCTTAAGGATTATATAATGTACAAGTAATGTATAAAGAAAGAATTGAAGGAAAAAAAAACTCATTATATTGAATGTTATCGATAATATTGAGTGAAAATAGGGGGTGCTGCAGTTCCGCAGTGCCTATACACAAGTCGCCCCTGCATCTGTTGGAATTTCTTTATTTTAATTTTCTTCCAGAATGTGATGACTGACGAAAATGTGTTGGCCATGGTTCGTAACACAATTTTGGGCATTCATGGCGAAGGTTCAGAAACATCTGCAGTATATGAGCCAACACTAACAAGAGCTAAAACAAAGTATAGTAATTTTTTTCTCATTTGCTTTTCATTCAACACTTGCATACTTAATATGCAGAACACATCCTTTGTCTTACTTGTTTTTCTCCCAGAATGTTATGATTACAATTCCTTTCAAGTCCAAAATAAAAATATTTTAGTGACTACTGTATAATATGGTTTAACAAAAGTAGCATTATCAATAAGCAAGTGACATACTTTTAAACTTGGCAGGGAACTTATGGAGCAGCAAGCAGCAGGAGTTGGCAGTGGAAACATATGGGCAGGCCTCTCAAACAGCAGTTCATGTGGGACCACCTCACTCAACCCTGAGACTCGGGCACTAGTGACCACAGACTTTCCTGAGGAGGATGAAGATGAGGAATACAGGCCAGAAGTTGATGAACTTGTGAGTAAATCTTGAACTGTCTTAGGCATAAAGCAAAATAAATGAATTAAAGGCTGCAGATTAACCCCCTTCACTATCCAAGGCCTCGAAATTGACCCTTTCACTGTGCAGACCCCTAAAATTAATATTGCTCTGTCTACATTTTTAAAAAAGAGAATCTTTTTATTTTTTGAAAGTAATGACACCATAAGTACGAAATTAGATGGAAAACTTATGAAATTACACAGGCACAAATTTAGTGGTCTGGGCACGAATTATGTATTTTAAGTCCTATTTTAAACCAATTCCATTGCTCCATTTGACCAAATTCCTACCTATTTCACTAGTATGCCTTCCATTCTATCAATTGAGCCCAAGAAAGTGCCCATTCAACTAGTAGGACTAACCTATGAAGTGCACAAGTTGGGAATTGAGCCATTTTTACAAAAAATTAAAAAATCCAATTTAAAAATAGTTAAAAATAAACAATGTAGACATTCCAGGTGCTAAAACATTTCCACTGTTCATCAGTCATGTCCCCAGGTCTCCTATAATACACCTGCTTTTCATTTAATTCATAATCACACAAAAAGATCAGATTTACCTTATTTCTCGGATAATTAAAATATAACCAGGAATGATTGGTCATGGTTTCTAATGTCCCTGTAATTGAATCAAACCTATTTAAAGCCCATAAAAGGGCCATAGAGGGCCTTACATGTCCTCAGGGAAATTGTCAAAAATCACACATTTCTGCTACAGGTCAGCTATCACTAATCCGGCATCATTGGGACCTGTAGTGTGCCAGATTAGTGAGTTTGCTGGATTACAGAGTGGTCAGGCTAGAATACACCTAATGAACCTATCAGAGACTCTCCTACATTTTCCTCATTTTCATCACTGCTTTCTCCTCCACTGGCTTGTTGCTGTGGATTTACAACCATCTGCACAATTTATGAGTCAGTATAATGATGAAATTTGAATCAGTATACTGATTGAGTCACTATAATGATGAAATCTGAAATTATGCTAGCTGAAATTAGTGCCAGATTACTGATGAAACTGGATAACTGATTGCCGGATTAGTGATGGCCAACCTGTATTTTGATCTCAGTTTCAAGCTACTTCTGGTTATACAACCAACCAGAATTATCTCTTTCAGTAGTATGTCTTCCATTCTGTTAAATGATACCAAAAACAGTGAGTAAAGCCACAAAAATTGTAGAAGACACCTGTATATAGATAATTACATACAGAACATTTAAAATGTTGCATGACAGTAAAATCATCATGATGTCTTTGCTCTCTTCATCTTTGTAGTTACCTAGTGATGATGAGAGTTTGGTGTCAACTAGTTTTGGTAGTGAGGTTGGATCACCGACAACTCCATGCACACCCTCTGCAACAAACGTATCTTCAACTACAGTGCCTTTGCATTCTCTTAATACACCACCATCTTCCAGGTAAATAAATCGTTGGTTTATTGCTGCCTTTAGTAGTCACCAGCCTTGTTTCATTTATAAAATTAGTAGTTAATTCTGTGAGGCATCAGGTCTATTGCAAAAGATGTAGATTTTGTTTTTGTTTTAACTGGCTGTTGCCCACTGAGGTAGGGGGACCCAAAAAAGAAACACTTTCACCATCATTCACACTATCACTGTTTTGCCAGAGGCATAAACTACAGACCCATTCATTGTTACTTCCATGTATTTTCTGCTGAAATAAAAATTTTGATTTTAATTTTTTATGTAAATAATTTAAGCATAAAATATACTCTGCTATTTACATTTTTCTTTTCTATTTTTAGACTGTTAAAAAAAATGGCACAAGACTTTGTTTTTAGGTCTCTAAATTTAAAAAAAATAAAATGCAATTTTAGTTGGTTGTCATGATGCACTATGTTTAATGCATTGCTTAAAGCTACAAATGTTACATAACTAATATTTCTTAAGGCTATATACAAATATGTGGTCAGCTGAATCACTTTCACCAGAAAATTTAATATTATGTAACTTAAACTTGTGGAACCAGCCTGTGCAAAATACACACACACTTGTTCAGGCCTTCCTTTCTCATTACATGCTGTTTTATAGTACTCTAAGGCTTTTTCTCTTGTTAAGATTAAATTAAATGATGCTTAAATTCTATCAAGAGCTGCAACACAACACAGACATAATACAAGGAATAAGTATTTATCTGACTTTCTACATGTACATCTCAACCTATTTTAAAACTCCATGCAATTATAAGGCTCAAAAATCTGGAACTTGCTTTCTGAAATTTCCAGAAGTTCATCATCTACCAACTTATTTAATAATGTTGTTAGCCCTTTCAGGGTCCAAGGCCAAAATCTGAAGTGGTGCCCCAGTGTCCAAGAATTTTCAAAAAAAAAAAAAAATTTATTTTTTCTTTTGAAATGGTAGAGAATCTTTTTGTGAATGTAATAAAACAAAAAGTATGAAATTTGATGGAAAATTGACGAAATTATGCTCTCGTGAATTTTGGTGTGTCAGCGATATTTACGAATCAGCGATTTTGCCGACTTTGACTCCCATTTTAGGCCAATTACATTATTCCAGTCGACCAAATTCTTAGCTATTTCACTAGTATTACTTCTATTCTAACGATTGAGCACAAGAAATCGCCAAGTCAACTGTTTCAACTACAAAATAAAGTGACCGGAAATTGGTAATTTGGCCAATTTAACACAAATTTCAAAATATTCCAATTTCAAAATAGGGTCCAGAATAAACAATGTAGGTATTCCTGGAACTAAACTAACATTTCCTCTGTTCATTAGTTATGTTTTGAGGCTTTACAAATAAATTCCATTTTGATTTTTTATTCACATAATGAATTTTTATTCACACCAAAAAATAGAAGATTTACTGTTATGCAATATTGTAATAATTGTATAAATTTCATCACCACATTTGTGAATGTATATTAGACCCACCTGCTGGCATGTATTAGACGTGTGAAGTCGTTTGTTTACTCTTGAACATCGGCAAAAATTTAACATTTCCGCCACTTTGAGCTCAGTTTCAAGCCATTTCCCCGTGCTAAAACCAATCAAAATTATCTCTATTTCTGTAATATGTCTTCCATTCTATCAAATGAGACTAAGAAATCACAAATACAACAATAAAAAACATACGAAAAAACACTGCAAAGTCGCTGTTTTAATCGAAAATCACGGTCCCAGTTTTTTTCTCTCATTATACACAGTGTGCTGCAGGATTTGTTTTATGTGGTGCACACATACCACATAGATGTATTCTCTTATATCTAGGCCCAAATTTACCACTCAGTTTATCAGAGTGAGCTGAGCTCATGACGTAGATCTACGGTTTGGACCCTGAACGTAAAGCCGTAGATCTACGGGACGGACCCTGAAAGGGTTAAAAGCCCGTAATAAATCTCTCATAAATGTTATATCCATTAACTGCCTGTAAAGGCTTATGCTTTGGTTTCACCACCTCAGTTCAGTCACTATAAAATGCAGATTTTTTAATCGATGTAAATTCTATGTAGTTTATTTGGAATTGACAAATTTCATTTGCAACCTGTCTCATTGTATTGTGATTGTAGTGTAATAGGTATTGCATAATTAGTGGTATGCTGGAGTGAATGATGATGAAAGTGTTTCTTCTTTTTCGGGTCACCTTGCCTCGGTGGGAAACAGTCCAGTGTATTAATAAAAAAAATTAGTGGCTCTCTTCTGTGCTTACATTTATATCAAATTATATAATATATCTCATTGTATGTATCTACTATAATTTCTTTGTCTCGTAAGGAATTTTCTAATTTTAATTTTTTTTTAATTTGAATACTACATAACTACATGTACATCTCTGTTATATTAAGAAGTTTTTTTTTTTTTTTTGGTCGTATCAGTTGCCTTTCCATTTATTATGTGGGGTATCCTTAAGCTTCTACCACATTATGAAATGCACTAGAAATTTTCTTGTAATTGAAAACTTACATTTCTCTATCAGAATGAGCACTCCAAAAAATCAGCGATTAATGGCCTTGAAAACTCCAAATGTGCAGAAAAAGAGTGTCCAGAGAATCCTGGATTTTGAAGAAGCACCGTGTAAAGAGGTGGGTTTCAGTTTTAATTTAGTTGCATTTGTTAAAACTGTCCAGGTGGTGGGTATAGAACTTAGTGATCAATATGCTTTTGAAATATTGTATTATGGGGAACATACAGTATGAGATATTTTCTCTAGACATTTGAAGTTTGATTATAGCAGGAGTAAAGAGTACAGTATTTGCCTGAGCTTTACAGTTCATCCAGCACTAGACACTCCACTTAATGATTTAGAAAAAGATGTGAGCAAACGTAAGAAAACATTTAAGTCCTGGGACCTTGATCACTTGTGAAGTGATCAAAGTCCCAGGTGTGACTCTTACAAAACTGTGATGGAGTGAATGATGATAATGAAAGTGTTTCTTCTTTTTTGGGTCACCCTGCCTTGGTGGGAGACAGCCGATGTGTTAATAAAATATAAAAATAATAAATTAAACTTTCAATTTTTCAGGAGGTTGTAAGCCAGAGAACAAGATCAAAGTTGCCATTAACAGAAACTCCACTCGAGTGTTTAGAAATGGCATTTAAACCTCCTGATGTCACAAAGGACATGTATGAAACTGAAGTTGATAATGATGATTGGAAGACCTTCCTAATTGACTTCATTCATCCATTAAGTATGAAACAAAATTTCAAACTGTACTTTCTGCATGGTTTTACTATTACCTATGCTTCAGTTTAGATATTAGTAGTTTTTAATATAGTAATAATAAATTAGCATATGAGGGGATTTTACAAAGCAGAAATAATAGAAGGATGGAGTATATGGAGTGTAAAAGAGGTTAAAGGAGTGTAAAAGGATAGTGTAAAATGATAGTGTCTTGCTTCTGGCAAGATAGTGATGGTGAAAGTGTTACTTTTTTTTGGGGTCACCATACCTTGGTGGGAGATGGCCAGTGTGTTAAAAAATTTAATTAATATTTTTATGACAGAGAACACTGAAGCTGGAGAGGATGAAGAGGCTGATCCTGAGTATAATATCTTAGAGGATAAAGAGGATGCATTGGATTTGAAGGAGGAAATGAGAGGAGATCGAGCTGTTCAAATTTCAAAGAAAGAAATTAATGAGCTGATGATTGAACTTTTCGACACACTTGGCAATAATGAAGGTACAGAATCTCTTCGAATGCATCTCTCTCAACTTAGTGGCCAGAAAGAAATTAAGAAGTCAACTGGTAAAACAAATTCAATGGGCCAAGCAAGTGAAAATAAGGTATGGACTTCACCTACTTCTTAAAAATGATGAATATTTGATTTTTACATATCACTTGGTGTTTTTACTGTGCTAATCATGTAGGTGCTCTAATGGACACCCTTACATATTAAGGCATATATTTAATTCCCTCACACTGACAAAATTATCACAGAAGAATATTTTAGACTTGGTATTCTGGGTGTTTATGAAAGCATGTGCATGCTGTCATCCTTGTCACAGTTGTCCATAGAGTTTTGTCCTTGGGAGTGAAGGGTCTAGTTCTTTTCACATTATTGACTTGGTGTCACTCACCTGCAGCATCACTTGCTGGTCTGCAGTATTTCTCATTTTCTAAATTGCCCATCTCTTAAATAATGTTTTTTCTAGCATTTAGTTTTTTGTTAAATTCATTTTAAGTTTTCACTTGCACATGCTTACAAGTAATCCTGATTTTCATTACACATTCTTGTTAAATATATTTTGCTAGATGTTCACTAATGTTGTATATTATTTCCACACTCCTTGGACTTGCTTCCACAACCAAACCAAATCAAACTCACCCATGACCACTTGTTTGCAGGTTCTCCTGCATCTTTCTATCTATCTTTGTTGCATGGCTGGGCTCCAGGAGTAGAAAAACTCTTGGAACTTGTCAAAGGTATTCCTATGATTTTAGGCCTTTCCATATTTGTTATGGTCTTTATAATTATTGGCGTGTCTGTAGGGATTTCATGGAGCTTTTGATTTTAAAAATTTAGTGGAGTATTTTACTTGATGCTGGTTATTTTAATTTGGCATGATTGTGTTTATGCTAAACTTGAATGTTAATAGATTTTATTTACTGCTATGAGTGCTGTGTGACATACTGTTAAAGTGCTCTGAAAATGTCACAACTATCACTACCAAGCCAAACTAACAATATCAGATGAAATACTGGGCAATCTTAGTAGAAAAAGCTACCATAGAAATATTTTTGCTATAGTAAAGTTTTCAAATTTTCTGCATTTTATCTACATGATTATTAACTTTGATATGCTTGGATGGGCAATGAAGCTTGCTGGAAACTGGGTACAGGTCCCCCATACTCAAGATTTTGTGTCGTCTTTCTTCTTTCAACAAACTGGCCATATCCCACTGAAGTAAGGTGGCCCAAAAAAAGAAAAACAAAAGTTTCTCGTTTTAACTTTAGTAATGTATACAGGAGAAGGGGTTAGCAGTCCCTTGCTCCTAGCATTTTAGTCACCTCTTAGGACGTGCATGGCTTACAGAGGAAGAATTCTATTCCACTTTCCCATGGAGATAGGAAGTAAAGAAGAACAAGAGCTAGTAAGAAAATAGAAAAAACCCAGAGGGGTGTGTATATATATGCTTGTACATGCATGTGTAGTGTGACCTAAGTGTAATTTTCTTATTTTTCATGAACACAGAATTTTTGCAGTATGGTTATTGGAAATCAACAGGCAAATGCCAGTTTAAGATGAAGCAAATATATTTTTCTCCTTGGGGAAGTGGATAAGAATTATTCCTCTGTAAGCCATGCATGTTGTAAGAGGTGGCTAAAATACTGGGAGCAAGGGGCTAGTAACCCCTTACCCTGTATAAATTACTAAAGGTCACTCTGCCTTTTCAGGATACAGCCAGTACGTTGAAACAAAAAACTGTTGCACCTTGTATCTAGATTACCTTACTACCACTGGCAATATGGAAGCTGCATTAATATTGTTTCAGGATGGCCCATCTCCTGGAACCATTTGGGTGGAGGCTCTGACAGCAGAATTTACCAAGACTCAATTACAAATTCTTCAGTGTCAGATGGTTCAGCATGTTCAACTACTGGCTACATCATCACTCATTTGCTATGGCACTTCTCTTCTCGATCATGTGGCTAATGGTTGCTTAGACCACCTGGTTAGTTAAACTTACATAAATGACTATTTTTTATGCTCTAGATGAATTTGTGATTTACGGTTCAGAGTGCTATTTGAATTGTAATGTTTGTGCACTTGTGGCAAAACAGCTGTTGAATGAGTGATGGTGAAATCTTGTGCTGAGTAAAAGATGTATACAATAAGCACAAATGTTAAGAGTGCTTCAACCTGGATTGATAAGGACTTGTTTGTTTGTGACTGTTCATTGTGAGCAACAATTTAAATAATGAAGGGAAGCTCTTCAGATTGTATTTTTTTTTTTTTATCATAGATGTTGCCTTTAGACAATTTACAGACCAGTAAAGTACGACTGTCTTATGAGAAATGACCTGCAGCTTATTAAGTGCGTTGCACTCTGGTAGGCTTGCTAGTGTCAATTTTGTGTGTGGCAGGAGTATGGCTGTGAGCCGACAGGTGGAGAAAGAGACATAATAAAAGGAAAACTTTTATTGCTACAACTACTTGATAAAGCCTCTTGTAGTTGAAACAATAATAAAATGTCTGGCTATAAGAGTCTTTTTTTACTTTTTTCTCTTGAACATTAAGATATAGGTCAATCTTAAGAACTAATTGCATTCATTATATATATCACTGCTCAATAATAATCCACATGGAGATAGGAACTCAGAAAAGCAGTTGATCTATATATTTTGACCCCTTGCTGGGGTCTTCTTCACACAATGTGTGGTGCGAATATTGTGCAGAGAATTTGGAAATTGGAGATCAGGAGGTGGTGTGGAGTCGCCAAAAATATTATTCAGTGGTCTGTGGTGGGTTTTTTAAGGTGGTTTGGACATTTAGAGAGGTTGGAAAAAAATAGGATGACTAGGAGGGCATGTAAATCTGGGGTGAAGGAAAGGGTCAAGAGAATTTGAATAGAAAGGAGCCAAAGGCATTAAGCTGAGGTCATCCGAGAGATTCACCAGCAATAAGAGCTAAAGGTGAGGCAGTACAGTTGAATAAAGAATAATGGGCAAAAAAGAAGCGGTGTCTGTTTAATTCATGAATTGTAATAAGAGTGAAAGTGAGATATAGATGATTCTGAGTGTTGATGCACCTAAGTGTGAGAGGTATGTTGAAAGGAGAAAAATTTTGGGAAATGCTAATTGAATGTCGAACCAGGTGAGAGAATCAATTTTTTTTCAAAAGGCCAAAGTTAATGACGCTAAGGCATAGGAGTGAAGTTAAGGTACCTGGAGTAAATGAGAGAAGGACCTTTAGATGAATTATGTTTGGAAAGAAATTTGATAATGCACAATTTGCATTACACATAAGCATCAATAGAGGAGAGGTGGATGTAATTATGAAGGATAAGCAGGCAGTTAACATTGGAAGTCTTGCCTCATGCAGGGCTGTGAGGCTAGAAGAAATCATGAAACAAATTACAGGTATATCATAGGCTTAGGCATCTGAGTTGCCTAGTATATGTATTTTTTTTTTTATTATTTTTAGGAAACTCTGAAGAAGACTGCTGATGAGAGTGACTTCAAGCAAACTTTCTTTCATCCATTCAATCTGGACCCAGCCATAGAAACCCTAAAGAACTTCAAGATTAAAACAGCAAACAGTGTTACCAGTGATACACAACTGTATGTTGTATAAACCTTTTATGTGTATTAATTAGGTGTAACATTGATGTTTGCATGAGATGCTTTACACTGTAATAGAAACCAATCCAGTGAGGAATTTTGATCCAAGAAATTGAAACTACCCACCCTTCTTTTTTATCAAACATGATTACTTTCCCTTTCCTAGGCATTGTATAATCTCTATGATTTTAGTGCTTCCATGTCTACCTGGATTGTGTTCCGAGAATCAATGCCCTCGCAGCCCGGCCCCAGACCAGGTCTCCTGGTGGATGATCTGCTCAGTTAGGTTGATCAAGCATTGATTTAAGAAACTTGCCCAGTTCCTTCTTGAAGACAGCAAGGGCTCTGTTAGTAATCCCTCTTATGCATGAAGAAAGGACGTTGAAAGGTCTTGACCCCTTCACACATATTGAGTTTTTCCATAGTGTACTTATTGCATCCCTGCTTTTCATTGGGGCTATTTTTGCACAGTTTGTTGTCAAGCTTCTTACCTTCATGGGGAATAATTTATGTGAGCAGATTTGGGACCAATCCCTGTAGAGTTTTCCAGGTGTAGATTATAATGTGCCATTTCCTCATATGTTCCAAGGAGTACAAATCAGGGGAATTAAAATGTTCCCAGTAATTTAGATGCTTAATTGAATCTGTGAGAGCAGTGTAGATTGTCTGCACATTCTCCAGGTCTACTTTAGTCTGCCTTGAAAAAAGATGCTAGCAAGACTGACGTCAGCATGCTACTGACGAGACTGTGACGTCAGCTTGCTGCTGGCTGGCAAGGCTGTGTTGTCAGCTTGCTGCTGGTTGGCAAGGCTGTGTCATCAGCTTGCTGCTGGCTGGCGAGGCTGTGATGTCAGCTTGCTGCTGGCTGGCGAGGCTGTGACATCAGCTTGCTGCTGGCTGGTGAGGTTGTGACGTCTGCTGCTGGCTGGCAAGGCTGTGATGTCAGCTTGCTGCTGGCTGGTGAAGCTGTGATGTCAGCTTGCTGCTGGCTGGCGAGGCTGTGTCATCAGCTTGCTGCTGGCTGGCGAGGCTGTGATGTCAGCTTACTGCTGGCTGGCGAGGCTGTGACATCAGCTTGCTGCTGGCTGGCGAGGCTGTGACGTCTGCTGCTGGCTGGCGAGGCTGTGACGTCAGCTTGCTGCTGGCTGGCAAGGCTGTGACATCAGCTTGCTGCTGCTGGCGAAGCTGTGACGTCAGCTTGCTGCTGGCTGGCGAGACTGTGACATCAGCTTGCTGCTGGCTGGCGAGGCTGTGACGTCAGCTTGCTGCTGGCTGGCGAGGCTGTGACGTCAGCTTGCTGCTGGCTGGCGAGGCTGTGACGTCAGCTTGCTGCTGGCTGGCGAGGCTGTGACGTCAGCCTGCTGCTGGCTGGCGAGGCTGTGACGTCAGCTTGCTGCTGGCTGGCGAGGCTGTGACGTCAGCCTGCTGCTGGCTGGCGAGGCTGTGACGTCAGCTTGCTGCTGGCTGGCGAGGCTGTGACGTCAGCTTGCTGCTGGCTGGCGAGGCTGTGACGTCAGCTTGCTGCTGGCTGGCGAGGCTGTGACGTCAGCTTGCTGCTGGCTGGCGAGGCTGTGACGTCAGCTTGCTGCTGGCTGGCGAGGCTGTGACGTCAGCTTGCTGCTGGCTGGCGAGGCTGTGACGTCAGCTTGCTGCTGGCTGGCGAGGCTGTGACGTCAGCTTGCTGCTGGCTGGCGAGGCTGTGACGTCAGCTTGCTGCTGGCTGGCGAGGCTGTGACGTCAGCTTGCTGCTGGCTGGCGAGGCTGTGACGTCAGCTTGCTGCTGGCTGGCGAGGCTGTGACGTCAGCTTGCTGCTGGCTGGCGAGGCTGTGACGTCAGCTTGCTGCTGGCTGGCGAGGCTGTGACGTCAGCTTGCTGCTGGCTGGCGAGGCTGTGACGTCAGCTTGCTGCTGGCTGGCGAGGCTGTGACGTCAGCTTGCTGCTGGCTGGCGAGGCTGTGACGTCAGCTTGCTGCTGGCTGGCGAGGCTGTGACGTCAGCTTGCTGCTGGCTGGCGAGGCTGTGACGTCAGCTTGCTGCTGGCTGGCGAGGCTGTGACGTCAGCTTGCTGCTGGCTGGCGAGGCTGTGACGTCAGCTTGCTGCTGGCTGGCGAGGCTGTGACGTCAGCTTGCTGCTGGCTGGCGAGGCTGTGATGTCAGCTTGCTGCTGGCTGGCGAGGCTGTGACGTCAGCTTGCTGCTGGCTGGCGAGGCTGTGACGTCAGCTTGCTGCTGGCTGGCGAGGCTGTGACGTCAGCTTGCTGCTGGCTGGCGAGGCTGTGACGTCAGCTTGCTGCTGGCTGGCGAGGCTGTGACGTCAGCTTGCTGCTGGCTGGCGAGGCTGTGACGTCAGCTTGCTGCTGGCTGGCGAGGCTGTGACGTCAGCTTGCTGCTGGCTGGCGAGGCTGTGACGTCAGCTTGCTGCTGGCTGGCGAGGCTGTGACGTCAGCTTGCTGCTGGCTGGCGAGGCTGTGACGTCAGCTTGCTGCTGGCTGGCGAGGCTGTGACGTCAGCTTGCTGCTGGCTGGCGAGGCTGTGACGTCAGCTTGCTGCTGGCTGGCGAGGCTGTGACGTCAGCTTGCTGCTGGCTGGCGAGGCTGTGACGTCAGCTTGCTGCTGGCTGGCGAGGCTGTGACGTCAGCTTGCTGCTGGCTGGCGAGGCTGTGACGTCAGCTTGCTGCTGGCTGGCGAGGCTGTGACGTCAGCTTGCTGCTGGCTGGCGAGGCTGTGACGTCAGCTTGCTGCTGGCTGGCGAGGCTGTGACGTCAGCTTGCTGCTGGCTGGCGAGGCTGTGACGTCAGCTTGCTGCTGGCTGGCGAGGCTGTGACGTCAGCTTGCTGCTGGCTGGCGAGGCTGTGACGTCAGCTTGCTGCTGGCTGGCGAGGCTGTGACGTCAGCTTGCTGCTGGCTGGCGAGGCTGTGACGTCAGCTTGCTGCTGGCTGGCGAGGCTGTCAGAGACTGAATGAGTAATATAGAAAGCATTTCTTCTTTTTTGGGTCACTCTAACTAGGTGGGAGATGACAACCAGTTTAAAAATAAAATTTGTCTAATTGCTAAGAGAATAGTGTTTTTTTTATTTTGAAAATTTTTCCTTCTGTTACAGAAAAACTTGTACAACGGAGTTGAATCCAGTAGTAATCGAAGCAATATTGGAGTCGTTAGCTTTTCCATATCCTCGTCTGCTGCCAACCCGCATGTTCCAGCATCCAAACACTAGAGGCTTCAGCAAAACAATTTTTGTACCTTCTGAGGATATGTGAGTGCTCTAAATTAATTGTGAATATGTATGATAAGGACAGTAGGGTCTCGCCCTACTTCGGTGAGAGACAGCCACCAGTGGCCTCTGGTATGGGGGCAAGTCGCTTATTTTCCCGAATATGTCATTTGTGGTGACATTGAAGATCTAATAATTTTGATCTTTTCAGGTTAATTGCCTTAGGCTTGGAACGTTATTTGGATTCTAAATATCGCCAAGAAAAATGTAAAAAAAACCAATACCGACACCTGTTGGAAGCACTTTCGTTGACGGTTCAGAATATTTTGGTAGGAAAAACTTTAAGCCAAGCAACAACACGGGTGAAGAATATTAGATATCGCACAAATGAAGCTCCTAATAATCCAATACTGGTAAGTTCTTCGTTGTCATTGTCATCAATCATCATTCTCATTTGTGGCTTGATAATAATTGAAACCTCTAAGTTTCATTTCTAAGTGTGGATTATTTGTGAGCAAGAGAAAGTTATATTTGACTGGTTGTATTTCAAAGTGGTTCAACAAATGCTACAAGAAAGTAGTTTCTCGTAAATGCATTCAAAATTGCAAAATAATCCAAATTTTGAGGTTACTGTATTTCTGTTATCACAATTCATGTGGCAGCTCTAATTTAGTCTTTGTAACTTTTCTCATGTTCTAATTCCCCATTGCAAATATTTTTACTATTTATCTTTTCTATTCTGTGTAATAATGTCCAAAACAAAAATATGCACATTACTGTATTTTCTGGCAAATAAGGCACGCAACAGAAGTATCATAACGGTAAATCGGTAATCATAGTCAGGGGTTAATTACCCTCTTACTTTATGCTAAAGCGTAACCCAAAGCCTACCCTTGACCCTGACCTTGAGCATATAAAGCACAGGGTGATTTTCCAAGACTTTTTGTGGGGAAAAAAGGCATGCCTATATTATATGCCAGAAAATGCAGTAAGTTAGAATTAAATGTTTAATAGAGAACAGATTCATTCATGTTGTAAGATGTTAGATGTGTATATAATTAAAAAAGTTATGATTCCTGGTTTCATAATCGTAAATATATTTTTTAATCAAAGATGTTCTCTGTTTTTGTAACAGCAATACTTTGAGACAGGTAAAGTGGATCTTACACCAGCAGAGGTAGAGGCATCACTGCCTTGTGTTCCTTGTCCTGTGCAAAACTTTCCAGAGTCTTCCTTGAAAAAGCCTTACCAAAGCATTATACAAAAACGTAATGCTACTCTTAAACTTGCATTACAAGAGATTTCTCTGAAGGCAGCTCAGGCGTTTGACACAAGAGAGAGAGAAGCAAAATATCGTGGTGCTTTAACTTTAAAAAAACCGGTAAGGAATCTTCACATTTAATTTTAATTGGTAATTTTGGGTACAGTAAATTAAATTTTTGTGTCATTGTCATAAACTAATCCTCTCTACACTTTTGTCACTTTTTTTTACTACTATTTTTATTCACATTTAATCATATCATCATAACCAGCAGCTGGTCTTCATTGATAAATCAGAATTGGCTGTGGGGATGGGGTCTCCTGTTGTCTTGTCAGCAGTAATTTATGAATTATTACATTCAGAGCTTGAAGTTGTTACTGTAATGTTTGTCCCCATGAATCTTAGTTTTTTATAAACACTGCTCCCCTCAAGGAAGGCTCCTTGATGTTGGTGAGGGGCTCTTGATTTAGGGAATTGGATCTGTGCTCCAGTTCCCCGAATTAAGCCTGAATGCCTTCCACATCCCCCCCCCCCCCAGGTGCTGTATAATCTTCCGGGTTTAGCGCTTCCCCCTTGATTATAATAATAATAATATAAACACTGCTTTACCATCATTTGTGAATAATATTTACATCAGTTAACAACTCCCTTTGAATTGTGATAGCCAGGCACTTTTGGAAATAGTAATAGTGAACATGTTTGTATGTTTGTACCTTGATGGGAAGAAAAGTTTTTCAACAATCAATTTCATTAGCATGTAGATATGTACTGTATATCATGAATATTATTATATTAGATTTAGAAGAAACAGTTCCATTGCACTTTTTCGTAGGATTAGCATTCTGTAAATTTTGGTATATGATCAAGTGTTCAGGTAATTAAAGAAAGGAACATTTTTTCCAGAATGCTTTAAAATGTTTAACCTGTAGTGAAGATATTGCTGTAGATCATTTTTAGGCTTGACCATTTTGAATTTTGAGGCTAGGCTGGAAAATATTTGTTTTTTTCATTGGTACAGATTTTGTCTTATATTTCTTTTCAGATTCAGAACATTGTGATCATTCAGTCTTCTGGATGTAGCAACCGACTTCCATTAACACCTGATACAGTGCAACCGTTCACCACCTACAGCCATATTGTTAACCCAAGCGTTGTTTATCACCCTCCTCCTCCTCCTCCTCCTCCTCCTCCTGTTAATATCCCCAAAATACATGTGGTGAGGATGCAGGATTTGGAATCCTCAGTGTGCAAAGCTCAGAGTAGCAGTTTTAACCAATCTGGTTCTTCTGTCAATCTTGGCACTCAGGCTACTTCTGCTGATACTCTTAAACAAGACTGTTCTAGTAATCAATCTTGTGAGGAGATTATGAGGGAAAATGAAATTAATTTATCAGCCGACTCGTTGCCCTCAAATCCCGGATCTAATTTAATGTCAAGTAATGATGGAGAATCTGGTATAATGTCTGTAGATAGGTCTCGATATGAAGAAAGTGGTAGAGGGGATACTGCCAGAGAAATAAAATCCCCTCCAATGAAAACTTCAAAATTAAACTGTGAACCTTCAAAAGCAATACTGGAATTGAATGAGAGTTCTGATAAGAATGGCAATAGCATTAAGTGTATTACACAAGACAGTCAAAATCACAGTTATGCTCAAGTAAATACAGATAATAGGGATAGAAAAGGAGATATTAACCTGAAACAGAAGAGAAAATGCAATGAGGACGCTGATGATAGTATAACAAGTGACACTGAATCCTTACCAGATTTAATTGGAAAGCCGAAAGAAAATGAAAAGATTGGCAAAATTAAAATGAAGAATGATGAACAGTTTATAGGTATATCATCAGTAGGTACAGTGGATAAAGGAGAGCTGGACATTCACAGACCACCACCAAGAACACATTCTGATATACCTGTTGATATACCTTCTTTGTCAACCACTCCAAATAAGTCTAATGATGTTTCTTTATCACCACTTGACACTCCAGCTACCATAATACCACCAAACAAATCTCATGATGCACCTGTTAAGGTAATAGGACATGTCAAACAAACTGATCTTTCCTCCGTTGCTAAAAAAGATGAAATAAAATTGGTAAATAGATCTAGTCATGGAAGTCACTTGGAACCTGTTGCATCCATCGCCTCTCGTGTAATGCCATTGTGTATTGCAAGATTTTCAAGTGAGAAAAGTGTTCCATTGTCTGATAAAGGTACAGGGCTTAATGCAAAAGAATCTCAAAGTGATTTTTGCAAAAGGACCTCTTTGGAAAATAAAAATGTAGTGGTACAAAATCCTGTGGTGCAGAATGCAAACTGGACTCCAGAATTGATGTCTGCAGTTACACAGAATCAAGCTTCCACCCAGAGCACCAGCATAACTCTTGTAACATCAGTTTACCAAAGCCCAATTTTCTCTTCAGAAGTAGACAAAGCTAGCCCATTAAACCTAATTCACATCTCTCCTCAAAAAACAAAGGCAACTTACCGAAGGATTTCACCTGCAAAGAGTTTCAGAGCTCCAATAAAAACCTCTCCTTTAAAACAGGTCTCGCCAATTTTACGCAAATATCATAAATATTCCCCAAAGAAGAGACGCCTGAGATCTGAAAAAAAGCTTTCCCCAATTCTGCCAAAAGTATCAGTGAGTATGAATGTAGTATTATTTTTATATGTTAATCATTCACTTGTATAAACTGGTGAAAAGTCTGGCATTAACTGAATAATGGTGTGTAATAAAGATCATATTGTATGGTAAAGATCTGATGCATGACTCCTTGCATCACTAATGTGTACTAAATGTGCCTTCATTCATCAAAGTGATGTGTTCTTTCTCATTGGTTTCCATATACTCTGCTGTATTATACTGTATATATATAGTAATCTCTGCAGAGAATTCGGAGTGTGGAAATTAGGAGGTGTTGAGTTACTAAAAGTATTAGTCAGAGGGCTGAAGAGGAGTTGTTGAGGTGGTTTGGTCATTTAGAGAGAATGGATCAAAGAGGAATGACTTGGAGAGCGTATAAATCTGTAGGGGAAGGAAGGCAGGATAGGGATCATCCTTGAAAAGGTTGAAGGGAGGGGGGAAGGAGGTTTTGTGGGCGAGGGGCTTGGACTTCCAGCAAGCATGTGTGTGTTAGATAGGAGTGAGTGGAGATGAATGGTTTTTGGGACCTGACTAGCTGTTGGAGTGTGAGCAGGGTAATATTTAGTGAAGGGATTCAGGGAAACCGGTTATTGTTATATATTGGGACTTGAGTACTGGAAATGAGAAGTACAGTGCCTGCACTTTAAAGGAGGGGTTTGGGATATTGGCAGTTTGGAGGGGTATGTTATATATCTTTACATATGCTTCTAAACTGTTGTATCTGGGCACCTCTGCAAAGACAGTGATTATTTGTGAGTGAGGTGAAAGTGTTGAAGATGATGAAAGTACACATTTTCTTTTTGGGGTTTTTTTCTTTCTTTTTGGGTCACCCTGCCTCGGTAGGAGAGGGCCGACTTGTTGAAAAAAAAAAATTATAGTACTCCTAGTAGGTAGTAGGTTGGTAGACAGCGACTGCCCAGGGAGGAACTATTGTCCTGCCAAGTGAGTGTAAAACGAAAGCCTGTACTTGTTTTACATGATGGTAGGATTGCTGGTGTCTTTTTTCTGTCTTGCAAACATGCAAGATTTCAGGTACATCTTGCTACTTCTACTTACACTTAGGTCACATTACACATGCATGTACAAGCATGTATATACACACCCCTCTGGGTTTTCTTCTATTTTCTTACTTGTTCTTGTTTATTTCCTCTTATCTCCATGGGGAAGTGAAACAGAATTCTTCCTCCGTAAGCCATGCATGTTGTAAGAGGTGACTAAAATGCTGGGAGCAAGGAGCTAGTAACCCCTTCTCCTGTATATATTACTAAATGTAAAACTAGAAACTTTCGTTTTTCCTCTTGGGCCACCCTGCCTCAGTGGGATATGGCTGGTGTGTTGAAAGAATGAAGAAAAAGAGAAGCTTTTATTTTTCTTTTTAGGTCACCTTGCCATGGTGGGATATGGCCAGTTTGATGAAAAAAAAAAGTATAGTAATGAGGTCACTTAAAATGCAGGGAGCAAGGGGGCTAGTAACCCCTTCTGTATAAATTACTAAATTTAAAAAGAAAAACTTTTCTTTTAAGGTCACCCTGCCTTGGTGGGTTATGGCCGGTGCTTTGAAAAAAAAATGTATAGTAATGCTACACAGTAATTTGGATATACAGTATTTACTAATATTGTAGCGTACCCTGAACCTTGACATTATTGTAGTTGTATTTCTTTCAGCATCGGTCAAATAGTTCACAGAGAAGATTGGCACCTAGACCATCGAAGATGTCTTCAGCTTTTCCAGAGAGCACTAGAGGACGACACTGTAGAAGAGGAACAGGGTAACGAATTACAAATTTGTGCTTGTTATTAATTGTTTCAAAATACTATGTACGTAATGTCTCTTAATTGCAAAAAAAAAAAAAGTCAAGAATTGCTAGGAATTTCTTTATGTATAAAGTACCAAAAAATCAAAATTGTTTGATACTTATAGTTAGGAAATAGTGGTACCCCGAGTTTCAGCCATAATTCGTTCCAGAAGGCTGTTCGAGTGCTGTTACTGAACGAGTTTGTACCCATAAGGAATAATGTAAATTAGATTAGTCCATTTCAGACCCCCAAAAATACACTTGCTAAAGCACTTACAATAATAGACTTGCATAATTGTTCGAATTGGGAGTTGTACGAAACTCGGGGTACCACTGTACTTCCTAATATCCCTGTGGTTCATATAGGTATGTTCTTGTTCTTGTTGCCTCTCTGGTAAAGAGCCTATCTTTTCTACCTAGGCCTCTTGAGTATTTTGTGTGCCATGATCTTATCCCCTCATGTTCTATGCACTTCCAGTGACATGAATAAGTATTGATATTATATTTGGGATATTGGCAGTTTGGAGGGATATGTTGTGTATCTTTATACGTATATGCTTCTAAACTGTTGTATTCTGGGCACCTCTGCAAAAGCAGTGATAATGTGTGAGTGTGGTGAAAGTGTTGAATGATGATGAAAGTATTTTCTTTTTGGGGATTTTCTTTCTTTTTTGGGTCACCCTGCCTCGGTGGGAAACGACCGATTTGTTGAAAAAAAAAAAAATTATATTTTGGTGTTCATTCAGTGATATGATAAGTCTCATACTTTGCAACGTATCTTCAATAAAGATTTGTCCTCGGTTAATGTTTATATTCACATTACCTTTTCTGTGTTGCAGAACAGAAAGCTTTCTACATGGAAGGAAACACAGAGGTGATGGTGAGCTGCTTCAGCTTGATGATGAACTGATGGAGAGTAATGTGTCTGTCTCAGCTGGTGCCACCATGAATGTACCTCAGCCTGTGACACAAGCTCATCAACCTGAGGAAGACTTTGAAGAATATTCTCTGGAAGATGAGGATGAAGAGGATGAAGATGAGGAAGACGAAGATGAAGAAGAGGAAGAGGAGGATTCAGAGGCTGCACAAGTAAGCTAAGTGAGCAAATGTATTTTTGATATCACAAGAATTGGATTTATTTCATTGCTCTTTAAGTTCAGTAGGATCTATTGCTTTATTGTTTTTATATATCATTGCAAGAGGTTAAACACTGCATAACCCATTTAGGTTTACCCCTTTCTTGTTAATATCATATTATAATAAATGCAAAGCTTATGATTGTATATTGGTTAAAGTGAGTTGATGCTACTTTTTGGTGTTTATTTATGACATGATTGTAAAAAAAAAAAATTTTATTAACACTTATTGGAGAATAAATTATTCTTCTTGATAATGAATATTTTAGATAATATAACAATTTTAGCAAAGAGAGGAACATCTGGCAGCCCTCCTGAAGGCCTCATCTACCATAACATTAAGAAGAGGTGGTGGAGGAGATGGATTTGATAAAAGATTGAATGCTGTTGGCGATGTTGGCCAAGGAGAGAGAAAGCTTACAAAACAACAGCGGAGACTACAGGCTCGCATTACTGCTCTTTCATATGTGCCAGATACTGTCAGCCAAGACAAATGTAAGTCCACTTCTTTCTTCCTCTCTGTCCTGTCCCTGTCCTGCTCTTCTATATATACTGGCTCCCCTCACTTCTGTGTGTTAGTGAGATTTGTAAATGATTCAAGTCATCAGAACTGTTGTCAAAAGCTTCTCTCTCCTGTGTGGGCTATTTGTATGAATTTAGTTGTTCGAGAGACAGTAGTGTGATTGGGATCATTCATCACTCCATTCGGAAGGGCCTATTTTGCTCAGTTTTTTTCCTCTGGCTACTGCATCACTAACTGGTGGCAGTCTTCTTCACTTTCCCCAACATATATCCTTTCAGTAAATCTTGTTAACATATTCTGACAAAACTATCTTTGCATAGGTATATTACATGGTGAAGTTTGGAAAATAGTAGTAAAATGTAGTAATTTTTCCTAAGTCTATTTTGTGTACATCATACTTAATTAGTCTAGAGATTTTTTTTAACACAGTGCCTCTCTCTCAACAAGACAGGGTGACCCAAAGAAAAAAATGTATTCACCAGCATTTACTCAGTCTTTCCAGAGGTGTACTGACAGTACAATCAGATCACCTCTCACTGCAGTGCCCCCACCCCTTCTTCAGAGTTCTGGCACTCTACTTCCCACCTCCAGAACTCAAGTCTGGCTAACTGGTTTCCCCTGAATCCCTTCAGAAAATGCTACTTTGCTGACACTCCAGCAGCAGCAGCAGCAGCAGCAGCAGCAGCAGCAGCAGTAAATATTCTACATGAAAATTAAATTGTATTCTTGGGGTTACAGTTTTGAGTTCCTGTCCATTCTTCTGCTAATTCATTGATATTTGTTCGTTATGACTTATCTTTAGTGTATGGACCATATGGTTTTGAGGATTATGATAATAGATGTACCAGGCTTCTAGGGCTGTAAGAGGAGACAGTAGGGTCACAGTTAGTGCCACTGATACAACTGTCACAGTAGTGCTAATTGTAAAATCATCCTATTGTAAGCTCTCTGGTTGATTAGTTACAGCATTCTGCCCATTATATGCATGGATCAAAGTTTGAGTAGTAAAAAATTTTCCATTTATTGTCTTATTAAACAACATTTTGTTTTCATAACCTGGCATAAGTTGCATTTTCAAATAACATTACAGTATGTTAAGTGATGGATTTAAATATTAGCATATAAAATCTGATTTTAAAGCTAATCCATAGGCTTTTCAGATGTGACTTTTTAATAATAGCACTTAAAATATATATTTTTCAGCAACTTCTGTTTTTTATTTAATGTTTGAGTTGATTTTTATCTTTTATATATAATCAGACTATAAACTAATCATATGTTTATGAAAGTTATCTATACTGAAGTACAGTATGTTATTAATGAAAATCTTTCAGTTATTTCATGCATTTTTTCTCTTAAGAAATTGTACCACCCTTCCAAGTTATTTAGTACAAAAATTAGAGACTGTAATGTTGTAACATTATTTCTTTCAGTTATGGCTCAGAGTTACTTGATGAGAGTTAGAGAAGCATTAGTGGCAAAAGATCCTGCAGCTTTCAAAGAGTTTTTGTGTATTCTCAATAAATTCACAGAGACCCCAGGCCAGAGCCCTCTTCAACTTCATAATCAGCTGTCTGAGGTAGGCTTAACTTCAGCACTTGCCAGTTTCTCACACCTCTTCAAACATTGCTTTGTGATACCTCAAAGCAAAGGAAGGGACATGTATCTCGGCTACAATCAAGCCTCATGTAGGTGAAATGTCTTTCCGATAGAGGTCTCTCCCTTTGCTGTATGTCTCTATACTACTATTCTTAAAAGGATTGGGTTACATTCTAATTTCTTACATATATGTTGGTAGAATTACCGACAGTATGTAAAGTAAAAGGAGACAAGTGCAACTAATGTGACATTTTATTGTGGCAACGTTTCGCTCTCCAGGAGCTTTGTCAAGCTGTTACGGCTTGACAAAGCTCCTGGAGAGTGAAACGTTGCCACAGTAAAATGTCACATTAGTTGCACTTATGTCCTTTTACTTTACAGATTTCTTACATGGAAAAAGTCAGCCTGAAATACAAATCATTGCAGGCTGGTGAAACATTGTCAGTAAAGGGTTGCATCTTACTGCATTTGTTTCTTTCCATTTCACTTTTATGTTTGAACATAAAAGATATATAGTAAATAGTGTGTGAAGTATATACTGTATTTACAGAATATACTGTATATATAATGTGCATATATTTTTCTTCTGCAGGTTTTAAAAGATTTTCCACAACTGATGGAGGAATTTGTGTCCTTCCTTCTTCCTCAGCAAGCGATGATCCTAGGCAAATATGCTCAATATTGTGCCATTCATCGTATGAGAGATTTTCTTGAAAAGTTAGAGGTTTGTGTTTTTAATTGTTTTAACTTTATAATAAACTAAAAGAATTTTTTGATCACATTGGTTGTTTGCCACCAAGGCACAGTATGTTATCCTTAATAATTATGCTTTTCTCTTCTGCATTTTTACTTGAGCTGTTGACGATAGTCGACATGATTGTTTTTCAATGTGCTACAAGTATGGTAACCAACAACTTCACTATTGTTTTTGCTGCATTATTATTATTGCAATCAGAATTAAGCACTAAACCCTCAAGGGTTATATAATGCTGCAGGGTTAGATGTGCTAAAGATGTACTATGCCAGATCGGAGACTAGCGAAAGTGCAGAGGATGCCAGAGGTAGAATCAGTAATGGCAGTGAGATTTTGATGAATTAACTAGTAGAATTCTTTGAAGTTTTTAAGTGCTTCAAGATTCTTTTTAACGTGTCTGATATGTCTAGAGAACTTTCTATGTACCTCCTTCTGACTGCCTGCACTCTGAAGGAGGGGTGAAGTTGTAGTCAAAGGGTTATCTGAATATGTGATGTTTGCACCCTTCTTGCTAGCAATCATTGAATGAATAATGGTGAAAGTTTTTCCTTTTTGTTGTGGGGGTTGGGGCTGATTTGGTGGATAGCTGTTGAGGTTAAAAAAAAAAAAAAAAAAAAAAAATTCTCTTATGGGCTAAGTTGACAAGATTGCACTTATCTAATCACTAAGGATTCACAAAGTAAGCTGAAGATGACATTAGGTGGGAGTTGATTATCGTAAAGACACTCATGCTTCACTACCACATTTTTAAGCAGATGTTGGTTACTTTACTTTATTTTTCATTCTCTAACCTTGCTGCTATCTGGTATTGTAAATAAGCTGATAGATTGGTGGTTAAGTACTCAGTCAGAAAAGCATGTTACAGTTAATTGAGCAACCAGTACTGTATTTTATCTTAATATCTGAACCTTGGTATTTATAATGTAAACATTTTATTCAGTTACAGTTCTGCAAACAACCTAAGTACATTCAAAAAATTATACGGCTGCTGCAGTCAATGCAGAATGATTCTAATCTGAATATTGAAGAAGTTAAAGCTGCAATAACACCTCTTCTCAAGTATCCTCATTTAGTGGAGTGTTTTACACAGTGCTTTCCATCACAGTCTCCACCTCCAAGGTTAGTATAAGAAAGAATATGTACAATAGGGCTCATCAGATTAAGAGAGAGAGAATCTGAAGAATAGCAAGTTAAGAGGCAGGGCCGGTATTAGAGAATCAACCCCTGCTGACAGTGTAGCAATTTAAAAAAAAAATATGTTCTGAAATACTAGAGAATTTTTTATGAAGGTAATGCAAAATTTGATAGAAAAGTTATGGCATTATGCAGGCACAAAGTTGGCAGTCTAGACAACTTATGTATCAGCAATTTTGTCCATTTTGAAATTCATTACAAACCTGAGGATGCAAAGGAAAGCATAAATTGTGACTACTCCTCATTTGGGTTGTGGTGGGAAAAAGGGTGTATAAGTTCATCTTTATCTTTTAACTCCACGCCTCTGGGAGTTGTCACAGCTGCTCTTTGCTGATGACACTGTGCTCTTGGGAGATTCTGAAGAGAAGTTGCAGAGATTGGTGGATGAATTTGGTAGGGTGTGCAAAAGAAGAAAATTAAAGGTGAATACAGGAAAGAGTAAGGTTATGAGGATAACAAAAAGATTAGGTGATGAAAGATTGAATATCAGATTGGAGGGAGAGAGTATGGAGGAGGTGAATGTATTCAGATATTTGGGAGTGGACGTGTCAGCGGATGGGTCTATGAAAGATGAGGTGAATCATAGAATTGATGAGGGAAAAAGAGTGAGTGGTGCACTTAGGAGTCTGTGGAGACAAAGAACTTTGTCCTTGGAGGCAAAGAGGGGAATGTATGAGAGTATAGTTTTACCAACGCTCTTATATGGGTGTGAAGCGTGGGTGATGAATGTTGCAGCGAGGAGAAGGCTGGAGGCAGTGGAGATGTCATGTCTGAGGGCAATGTGTGGTGTGAATATAATGCAGAGAATTCGTAGTTTGGAAGTTAGGAGGAGGTGCGGGATTACCAAAACTGTTGTCCAGAGGGCTGAGGAAGGGTTGTTGAGGTGGTTCGGACATGTAGAGAGAATGGAGCGAAACAGAATGACTTCAAGAGTGTATCAGTCTGTAGTGGAAGGAAGGCGGGGTAGGGGTCGGCCTAGGAAGGGTTGGAGGGAGGGGGTAAAGGAGGTTTTGTGTGCGAGGGGCTTGGACTTCCAGCAGGCATGCGTGAGCGTGTTTGATAGGAGTGAATGGAGACAAATGGTTTTTAATACTTGACGTGCTGTTGGAGTGTGAGCAAAGTAACATTTATGAAGGGATTCAGGGAAACCGGCAGGCCGGACTTGAGTCCTGGAGATGGGAAGTACAGTGCCTGCACTCTGAAGGAGGGGTGTTAATGTTGCAGTTTAAAAACTGTAGTGTAAAGCACCCTTCTGGCAAGACAGTGATGGAGTGAATGATGGTGAAAGTTTTTCTTTTTCGGGCCACCCTGCCTTGGTGGGAATCGGCCGGTGTGATAATAATAAATAAGTTCATCTTTATTGGTGGATTTTCTATAAACCCATTGTTTGAGAGTATTGGCTTCCTTGATGAAGAGGACATCAAGAAAGGGTAAAGAGTCATCCTTTTCTTCCTCTAAAACTGTATTGTGATTTCTATTGACTTTAGTGTGTCTGTGTATTGGTGAAGATTAACCCTTAACCCTTTGACTGTTTCAGGCCCCTTTCTGAAACTGTCATTCTATGTCGCCAAATATTCGAAAAAAAAAAAAATTATTTTTTCTTATGAAATGATAGAGAATCTTTGCCCCGATGGTAATGACACCAAAAGTTCAAAATTTGGTCGAAAACTCACAGAATTACGCTCCCGCGAAGTTAGCGGAATCGGCAACATGTGTATCAGCGATTTCGCCGACTTTGAGCCCTATTTTCAGCCAATTCCATTGTTCCAGTTGACCAAACTCATAGCTATTTCTTTAAAACTCCATTTCATCTATCAGCTGAGTACAAGAAACTGCCCATTTACCAATTTGAACTACCCAATATAGTGGTCAGAAATTGGCAATTTGGCCAATTTCACGCAAATTAAAAAAGATGCCAATTTCAAAATAGGGTCCAGAATAAACAAGGTAGACATTCTTGGCACTAAAATAGCATATCCTCTGTTCATTAGTCACATCTCTAGGCCCCTCTTATATTATTATTGCTTTCTATTTTGATTTTTTATTCATACAAAAAAATACAAAATTTACTGTTATGCAGACTACTGCATTATTGTAAAAATGGTATAAATAATATCAGTGCACTAGTGAAAGAATATTAGACTCCCCAGTTGACGTGTATTGGACGTGTGGAGTGATTTGTTTACTCCTGAACATTGGTAAAAATCGAACATTTCCGCTAATTTGAGCTCGGTTTCAAGGTCGTTTTCATCGTCAAAGTAATGAAAATCATTCCTATTTCTGTAATATGTTTTCCATTTTATCACCTAAGACCATGAAAACGCGAATACAACGATAAATACTATAAGAAAATACACCTCAAAGTCTGCGTTTTATTCCAAAAAAACGATCAGAGTTTTTTTTCTCATTACGCACTGTGTGCTGCAGGATTTTTTTTATGTGGTGCACACTGACCACACAGACCCATTCTCTCAAATGTGGGCCTACCAGCTTTCTCCCGCTTGATTTGAAGCCGCTACAATTATCGAGTATATATACGTCAGAAACACTGGCTCGTAAGACGTATTTATACGTCGAAAACAGTCAAAGGGTTAAACTGTCAAAACGTAGATCTACGTTGACGTGCGTAGCGCTAAGAACGTAGATCTACATTTTATTTTACATGCTTTCTTATGTAAATAAAAGTAAATCTGTTCAGAGTGCTACGAATGTGAACGTAGATCTATGTTTGGACAGTTTAAGGGTTAAAGTGTCTTGAGACAGTGACCAAGACATCATCAACAGATCTTGCATCATGAACTATGGTGCTGCAATTGTAGCAGAACAAAACCAAATTAAAGTTTCTGGAAGCAGCCACTTTGTATTTATTTATTTAATACAGTGGACCCCCGCATAACGATCACCTCCGAATGCGACCAATTATGTAAGTGTATTTATGTAAGTGCGTTTGTACGTGTATGTTTGGGGGTCTGAAATGGACTAATCTACTTCACAATATTCCTTATGGGAACAAATTCGGTCAGTACTGGCACCTGAACATACTTCTGGATTGAAAAAAATATCATTAACCGGGGATCCACTGTATTATAAAACAAAATAAGGGAATGTACACACAGGCAGGTCCCATCAGTCGTCTTATCCGTGGTCTCCCCAACAAAAATTTTTCCTATGAGCCTAAGCCTGTGCCTCCTCCCAGTCTCCCACCCCAACACATCAGCATGTAATATGCACATTGTTTGACCTGTTTCTCCCTATGACTTCACTTGTCACCTTTCTTGAGCCTGACATCAGAGTGCTTCTTTGCTTTATAATTATAGGCACTATGAATCTTTATGCTTTTGTACACTTGATAAATTTCAGTTCTGGAAGAGACATTGAAAGAAAGGTCAATACATAAGTGTCTTTCTCACTTCATGTTGGCATACACAATCGTATATGCCATTCTGGAAATCTCTTGCAAAAATGTGAGCAATGATAAGTCTTTAAATATTGTACGCAATTAATTATTTAAATTTTATTTTTATTTTTTCTAGCTTACAAAGCGACTTTGAGGATGTATTGTTGGAAAATCCAGGAACTCCGGATAGTATGGAGAGCTTGATCCTACCAGATGATGACAGTCATACCTCTCCAAACCATTGTGTGTGTCCATGTCATGCTTCAGTTACCAGTGTACTCACTAGCATTTCAGTAACTCAGCACACTACAGCAAATTCAGCACATCACAATCACTGCCGCTCATGTGCATTAAGGGTTAGTATTTACATTTAATTTTCTTTTAATTATTTTTCCTTTGTGACTTAATGTTTTGTTCATTTTGTTTGCGCCAGACCATGCAATATACAGTTAAAAATGTAGCACTGTCTGGTAATTACTTATATCATACAGGTTTATAGTTTCAATTATTGTCTTTAAGTCTAGCTTTGTTTCTTGATTATACCATCTACATGTAGTCTGTATGTACAGTATCTACTTTTCAGTTTAGTGCATCTTCTATATTATCATATGTACAGCATGTGCCTAAATTTACCATAAATAATGTAAATGAGGCTCATAACATTCTACCTTGAACTAAAGTATAAAGTCATAGATTATGATTTTAATGGCCGATGATGGTTATTATTATTATTCTTTCTGTTAATATTTTTGGATTCATCTTTTACATATGGACAATACTGTACTTTGTTTTCCAGATTTGCTTTTTATTATATTCAAACTGACTTTTCTGTATAGTTTTCAGAAGGTCGGATATATCTACAGTGTGGCAAAACTCTCCGTCCAGCTAAGGTAACTTATCAAACAGACACAAAAAAGGAAGAACCTGGTGAAAAAAATAGTCAAGGTCAGGCATGTGGAGGCAACATTCACACTGTAACTGACAACAGTGACACTTTCGTGAAGGTAAAAAGTGTAACAAAAGGAAAAATTTCCCATTTAAAGGATCCAGGTGATGGTGTAAATACTCGAAACAAAGAAAATGCAAATAAAATAATGTCCAGTAGTAATAGTACAAACAGTACAACACATGTAAATAACACAAGCTTGTTAAAGGGTAGAATTGATACATCAAGTGAAGAATACTTTGCAAAGGATGACAGTAGCATCCAGACTGAAAAGCCAAACATTTTTGTTAAAATTAGAGGTGAAAATGTAGAAACTGTTAAAGAGCCTCTTAATAGCAAAAACTTTGAAAATTTAGGTTCCAAAAATGAAGGTCTTTTGGATGGAAAAACACCTTGTACAAAAAAAACTATCAGTAATAGAAGTTATGAGAAAACTGAAGTTAACACATGTTCAGACACTACTTTGGCAAAGTCTTCCAGTTATATTAGAACAAGTTTGTCCCAAGCTAATATGAAGTCTTTAAAAGGAAAAGTGATCAGTGATAGTGCTAGCAATTCCAGTTGCTCTTTCAGAAACAAAGACTTTCCATTTCTTCCCTGCTCACCTCCAAAAGATGTTCACAATGAGAATACAGTTTTACCCTCTAGCTCAAAAACAAATAACCTTCATAATTTTGGTACAATAGGTAGCCTTGCACAGAATGCAAATATCATGGATGAACGAAATAGGCCTATTGCCAGTGCAGTGATAGTAACAGATAAAGGAGAGTTACAAAAGGAACACAAGGCTGCCTTCTGCCATTTGCCACTCCAGAAATTGTCGCAGTGTCAAATAACAGAGACTCGACAAAGTTTAAAAACAAATGTTGTGAATGAGGGGGTAGTATCTGTGTATAGTGCTGGAGGTGCTCAGAGTTTCTGCAGCCCATACACATTTTTACAACATTGTAGCTCATCCTCAGAAAGCACAACTTATTCTTCAGAATCTCAAGGCAGGTCTTTAGGAAGTCAGTCGACCTCTAATAAAGAAACAAAAAAAATAATTAGGAATTTAACAGACGACCTTGATTCATCACCAGGAAAATCATTGTTATCTTCTGTGAATACATCATCTACTCCTGTTTTGCCCACAGCCTTAACTTTTAAGTCTGTTAACTGGACAAAAGAAGAGGACCGAACTATTCTGACCATAGTACAACAAAAGGGTGCTACTGATGCTGTCTTTCAAGAAATAGCTGGGGCTCTTCCTTCAAGAAACTATCATGAGGTATATGTGAATGTTTGGTGTATATGTAAACCATTTTTTTTGTTTTAGTATCAAACAATTTAATTCAAAGATTATAAAAATTATTATTGACATGATAAGACCAGGTAGAGAATAGACTTCATAAGAATGATGTTCCACCTGTTACAGTTCAAGGTTCTTGACCAGCAGAATCAGTGATTTTGATCATTGGTATAACTCACATAGAGAAGTTTTCATCATTCAAATTACTTCATGCTTGTACAAACCCATCATGCCTTACAGGAAGTATGTGCAGTATAATAAATAATTTTTTCCCCTTTCCTTTTGTTTTCCTCCCCTCTTTGTCTCCCTGCCCTTTGTTTTCCCCCTCACTTTTCTTCTCTACTTTTGTCCATTCTAATTCCTTTCTTCCTTTCACATCATTCTTCTCCTTCCCTTAAGGGAGGGTCATGGATATCAGTGAGGGGGTTCTTGTTGCAAGGAACTGTACTTGTCCTCCTGTTCCTCAGATCAATCTTGATTGCCTCCTATACCCCCAGGTACTGTATGATGCATATGAGTTTAGTGCTTCCCTTAATAATATTAATAATTTTCCCTCTTTTTCTCTCAGTTTTTGCCTCCTTTTTCCTCTTCAAGGGGGGCTCCTTGGCATGGTGAAGAGGCTCTTGGTCTGAGGAATTAGACCTGTCGGTCTCCTTCCTCAGACCGAACCTAATTACCCCCCAATCCCCCTTTCCCTATCCCATCCTCCCCTTTTCCCTTTCCTCCTCCCCTTCCCCACCCCTCCCTTTTGCCCTTCCTCTTTTTGACCTTTGGGATTTTTCCCACAGGCGCGCTAGTTCCTAGGTAGGGGAAAGGGTACCAGGGTCCATTCCATTCCGTTGAGGTTCTTGGCGGTGGCGTAGTTTGCCGTGGAATCTGGATTGCCTGGGGATGTCCCAATCCCTCTCCGGTATCCCAGAGAGTGGCTTTGGGTGTCTTTCGGGTGACGGGTGTATCTCTGGAAGCCACCTTTCGGATTCCGGGGGTGGTGGCTGAAGGAGGTATGCTTTGTGGCGGATATCCGGCCGCCCTCTCTTTTGTTCACCGAGGCAGCTCAGCAGATGTGAGGTTGCTCTCCTGGATTGCTAGGTTACTGGCATGATGGGTAGGGTATGGCACGGGTTCCATGCTGCATCTATGCTACTTGTGGTGCTGAGGTCCTCTTGGGCACAGAGGGAGATTTCTGGCCCTTTCATTCCTCCTAGGAACTATCCCTCCCCAGTCCCCCCTTTTTTTTTTTCTTCTTTTTTTATTTTTATTTTCTTTTCTTTCTTTTTTTTTTCTTAAAAACAAAAAGAAAGAAGTAACCTAACCATTGCAGCCCTAGTCCATGAACCTGATTCCCCTGGGCCCCTTCTTGATACCGCACCCCGTTCTGACCCCGCCTCGTCTTTGGACCACTCTTCGGACACTCCTCATGCCTCTGTACCTCTTGCCGGTGCTGTTTCCTCACCCGCTTCAGGTACTGAGGTCTCGACTGACTCCTTTGATTTATCTGACCTCCGCTCTCCTTTGACTATGCTTCCGGCCTCTCCCTCTACGGTGCGGCAATTTTCGAATCGCCGGCCCATTCCGCGTCGGACCAATTCTGGTCCCACGCCTAAACGCCAACGACAGTTACCTGCTGATGATACTTCTCCACCTTCTCGTTCTTCTCAGGAAAGATCAACACGTCCTGCACTCCCTTTCCACGCTCGGTTTCAGACTGCACAATGGACTAAATTCTTCACTTTACGACCGGCTTCCTCTACCGCCTATCTTTCCGACCACAGTATTGGCAAGGCACTCCTACGCCATGTTGGTAAAGATATTTCTTTTCATGCTCTTAAGAGCGGTACGCGCATCATCACTTTACTTTCTTCAGTAAAGCTTTTGAGGCTGTTGACCACAATAAAGAATTTGATATTATTTACTTAGATTTTAGTAAGGCTTTTGATAGAGTTCCGCAGCATAGACTGTTAAAGAAAGTGGCAGCTCATGGCATTGGGGGAAAAGTGCTCTCGTGGATCGAGTCATGGCTCACTGACAGGAAGCAGAGAGTGTCCATAAATGGGGTTAAATCCGAGTGGGGATCTGTAACAAGTGGCGTTCCACAGGGATCAGTCTTGGGCCCGTTGTTGTTTATAATATATATCAATGATCTTGATGAGGGAATTACTAGTGATATGAGCAAATTCGCCGATGACACAGAGATAGGTAGGATAATTGATTCAAACGTAGATGTTATGGAACTTCAGGAGGATTTAAACAAACTCTATTCTTGGTCAGAAAAGTGGCAGATGCAGTTCAATGTAGAGAAATGCAAGGTTCTGAAGCTTGGGAGTGCCCATAACCCTAGTACTTATAAGTTAAATGATGTAGAACTTAGCCATACAGATTGCGAAAAGGACTTGGGGGTTATGGTGAGCAGCAACCTTAAACCAAGACAGCAGTGCCTAAGCGTACGTAATAAGGCAAATAGATTACTGGGATTTATATCAAGAAGTGTAAGCACAGAAGTCCAGAGGTCATACTGCAGCTTTATACATCATTAGTAAGGCCTCACCTAGATTATGCAGCTCAGTTTTGGTCTCCGTATTACAAAATGGACATAAATTCGTTAGAAAACATTCAGCGTAGGATGACTAAATTAATACATAGCATTAGAAATCTTCCTTATGAAGAAAGATTGAAGACTCTTAAGTTACATTCACTTGTTAGACGAAGAATGAGGGGAGACCTGATCGAAGTGTATAAGTGGAAGATAGGTATTAATAAAGGGGATATTAATAAGGTCTTGAGGATGTCTCTCCAAGAGAGAACCAGCAGTAATGGATTTAAATTAGATAAGTTTAGATTTAGAAAGGACATAGGGAAGTATTGGTTTGGAAATAGGGTAGTTGATGAGTGGAACAGTCTACCTAGTTGGGTTATTGAGGCTGGGACTTTGGGTAGTTTCAAATCTAGGTTGGATAAGTACATGAGTGGGAGGGGTTGGATTTGAGTGGGACTTTCACATCAGAGCTTATTTCTTGGGTGGCATTGAAAATTGGGTTGGGCAAATGTTTTGTTAGTGGGATGAATTGTAAAGGACCTGCCTATTATGGGCCAGCAGGCCTCCTGCAGTGTTCCTCCTTTCTTATGTTCTTATGTTCTTATGTACAGAATGCTACCCAAGCTCATGATCTTTCTCTTCTTTCCCATATAGATACTGTTCCTGTCACTATTGAAAAACATCATTCCTTCAATTCTTGTAGTGGTACTGTCATTCTGCCCCATACCATAGTTCAACAAAATTTCCAGACATGTGGCAATGACATTCTTGAACAACTGGAACTCCAAGATCTCCCAATCCTCAAGGTAGACACTTATGTTCTTCCTGCCCGCGGGTGGAGACGATACCCTAGCAATGTGGCTCGTTTAACTTTTGACAGCCGTGAACTCCCATCCTCAGTTTATGTGGCAGGACAACAGTTACAAGTTCGAAAGGTGATCCCTACACCGCAGCAGTGTAGAAATTGCTGGCGATTTGGCCATCCAGCTAAATATTGCAGATCCATAGCCGAATGCCCGGTCTGTGGTGCCGATGACCATTCTAATACAACTTGCAATCGACCTCCCTCTTGCCTTAATTGTCATGAGGCTCACCCTTCGTACTCTCGCCGTTGCCAAGTCTACTTAAATGAGCGGGAAATCCGTTACCTCAAAGAGGCAGAAGGTCTCCCTTATGCCATGGCAGTTTCTCATCTCCGCCTCCGAGGGAGACTACCTTGTGTTTCTTATTCCCGTGTTTCAAAACGTCCCCCCACTTCTGGGGTCCCATCTTCTGCAGCCTTCTCTGTGGTTACCTCTCCCATAGTCACTCCTGTATCTAATTCTTTTGCTGTCCTAGGCTCAGACGTTCCTACTTCAACGCCTCAGTCTGTTCACGCTTCTTCGTGTTCTCCCTCACAAGCCTCAGTATCGACGAGACCTCGTACGACACCTCCTCCCAATCGTCCCTCTACTTTTCAGAAGTCAAAAAAAGGTCCTTTAACCCCTCCTTCCCTACTTCCACCTCCTCATTTTACCTTCCCTGTCTCTGTACCAGGTTCTTCCCCTCTCACTGGCTCTGTTACAAGTGTAGAGGTTAATCCTCCTCCTCGTACTATACCTACCTCCCCTGTTCCCTCCCAGGTTTCTTCCTCTTCTGCCACCTCCCAGGTTTCTGCCTCTTCTGCCCCCTTCCACGCTTCTTCTCCAGTTCCCTCCACCCTTTCGCCCCCCCTACCTTGGTACAGTCCATTACCGTTCCAATCTTTACTCATCCTCCCCCTACCATCTCCAATATTGTCTCCCATACGACGTCTCTGAATTCCGAAACACTTGAAGCAATCTCTGAATATATTGCAGAGACCAAACCATCAATGGACACTGATCCACCCTCTGTTCCTTCTCTCTCCTCTCCTCCATCTGCGCAACTCCTTTCTTCACAGCGCACCATTCCTTCGCTGCTTGAACGTTTTCCGCTGCCTCCGCATGTGGACTTTTCTAACCCCTCTAGTCCATAGGAATCCTTACCTGCGGATTTCAAGTATTTTTATCATTGCCAATCATGGCCTATTTACAGTGGAATGTACGCGGCCTCAGGGGTAATCGGGGTGAGCTTCAGATGTTACTCTGCGGCCCCAGTTTTCCCCTGTTGGTGTTTGCTTACAGGAACCAAAATTACACTCTACTGTTATCTCTCCCATCTCAGGCTATAATTTATTGTATTCATCAGATCCTTTTCCTGATGGGACCTTTAAATGAAAGTGCCCTTCTTCTACGCAATGATATTCCGTACCATCAGCTATTTGTTTGTACTTCGCTGCATTACACAGCAGCCCGTATCCACTTGCATAGGTGGTATATGCTCTGTTCTTTATATCTCTCCTTCTCGGGCATTATCTATTCCGGATATTGCCTTTCTTGTTTCGTCATTACCGCCACCGATTCTGTTACTTGGCGATTTTAATGCCCATCATTTCCTCTGGGGGGGGTCTCACTGTGATTCCCGTGGCATTCAGTTAGAGGCTTTTCTTGCCACCCACCCCCTCTATGTTTTAAATACAGGTACTCACACCCATTTTGATCCTCGGACTCACACTCTCTCTTGCATCGATCTCTCAGTCTGCCCTTCCTCCGCCGCATTAGACTTCACTTGGTCTGTTCTCCCGGACTTACATGACAGCGATCATTTCCCAATCATTCTTACTTCCCCTTCATATTCACCACCTCTTCGCATCCCATGCTGGCAATTTGATCAGGCAAATTGGAACCTTTACTCACACCTAACTGTTTTTAGAGAGGTTCCTTCTTCGTCCTCCATTGATGAGCTTCTACACCTCTTCTCGTCCTCCATTTTAACCGCTGCTTTTAATTGTATACCCCAAACTTCGGGCAGGCATTCTCAGAAATGCATACCTTGGTGGTCTCCTGCTTGTGCTCGTGCAGTACGTTTGAAACGCGCTGCATGGGGCAGGTACCGGTACAATAGAACCACAGAGAGACTTCTTGATTTTAAGCAGAAGCGTGCGATCGCTCGCCGTGTCATCCGTGACGCTAAACGCACTTGCTGGCGAGATTATGTCTCCACCATCACCTCTGCTTCCTCTATGAGTGCAGTCTGGAAAAAAGTACGAAAACTGAGTGGTAAATATTCTCCTGACCCGGCTCCTGTTCTTCGGGTTGCCGGTGTTGATATAGCAAACCCACTAGATGTTGCCAATGAAATTGGCAATCATCTGGTCCGTATTTCTCAGGGGCTCCATCTATGCCCCTCGTTTCTTTCCTCAAAGTCTGCCAGAGAGTTAGCACCCTTGGACTTTTCTTCTCTCAGAGAAGAACAGTATAATGTGCCTTTTACACTTCAAGAACTGGAGGCAACACTCTCAGCTTGCCGATCATCGGCAGTTGGGCCCGACGATATTCACATTCGTATGCTACAACATTTACATCAGTCAGCCCTTGCAGTCCTATTACGCCTTTACAATCTTATTTGGTCACAAGGACTTCTTCCACAGCTGTGGAAATCTGCCATTGTTCTCCCTTTCTGCAAACCAGGCACTACGGGACATGAAGCCTCCCACTATCGTCCCATTGCTCTTACCAGTGCAGTTTGCAAAGTGATGGAATGCCTGGTAAATAGACGTTTAGTGTGGTATTTAGAGACACACAACAGTCTCTCCACTCGTCAATATGGCTTTCGTAAGGGACGTTCTACCATAGACCCCTTACTACGCTTGGATATGTATGTTCGTAATGACTTTGCGAATAACCACTCAGTTATTGCCATATTTTTTGACCTTGAGAAGGCATATGACACAACTTGGAGGTATAATATTTTAGCCCAAGCCCACTCTTTAGGCCTTCGAGGCAATCTACCATCCTTCCTTAAGAACTTTTTAACTGACAGGCATTTCCGTGTTCGGGTTAATAATGTGCTCTCCCCGGACTTTATCCAAGCTGAAGGTGTCCCCCAGGGATGTGTTCTGAGCACAACACTTTTTCTCCTTGCTATTAATGATTTGGCCTTTAGTCTTCCATCATATATTTGGTCATCACTCTATGTTGATGACTTCGCTATTGCCTGTGCAGGTGCTGACTGTCACCTCATTACAGTTTCTCTCCAGCATGTGGTCGACCCTGTTTCCAATTGGGCCACCGCACATGGGTTTAAATTTTCCAGCATTAAATCCACCAAATTACTTTCACTAGACGCTCTGTCATCTCAGATCATCCTTTGTACCTCTATGGCTCCCGTATCCCTGAACGTGATACAGTCAAGTTTCTGGGCCTCCTCTTTGACTGTAGGTTATCCTGAAAACCTCACATTACCTCTCTGAAGGCAACTTGTCACAGCCGGCTGAACCTTCTTAAAACCCTTGCTCATCTTTCGTGGGGAGCTGATCGTCGAACCCTCCTTCGCCTACATTCCACCCTCATTTTATCGAAACTTGATTATGGTGACCAGATCTATTCAGCGGCATCTCCTGCTACTCTCTCTAGCCTTAACCCCATTCATCACCAAGGATTACGTTTATGCCTTGGTGCTTTTCGCTCTTCCCCTGTCGAGAGCCTCTATGCAGAAGCGAACGTTCCATCCTTATCCGATCGCCGTGATGCCCATTGCCTTCGCTACTATGTACGCTCTCATGATCTCCGCAGTCCTTCCATTTATAGAATGGTCACTGATACAGTATTAGTAGACATTCTTTACTTGTTCGCCACCCCTGTTTACTCCGTCCCTTCTCTCTTCGCCTTCATTCGCTCTTGTCTTCTCTTCAATTACCACTTTTCTATGTTCATGTAGCATCTCTCTTTTCCCTACCCCCCTGGGAAGTTCCAGCTGTTCGAGTCTGTTCTTTCTCTCTCCCTTGCTCAAAAGCCCAACTGTCTATGGTCGCTTCCTGCTCTCTTTTTCTTGACCACTTCCACTCTCATTCTCATGCCATTGCTGTGTACACAGATGGCTCTAAGTCTTCTGACGGTGTAGGATTCGCAGCAGTGTTTCCGGACAGCGTCGTACGAGGGCATTTACTATCTTCGGCTAGTATTTTTACTGCTGAATTGTATGCCATCCTTGCAGCACTTATCCGTATTGCATCTATGCCTGTGTCATCATTTGTGGTTGTCTCAGACTCCCTTAGTGCTTTACAGGCTATACAGAAATTTGATACACCTCACCCCTTAGTCCTCCGTATCCAACTTTAGCTACGCCGCATCTTGACCAAACCTAAAGATATTGTTTTTTGTTGGTCATGTTGACATACAGGGCAATGAACAGGCAGACACTGCTGCGCGGTCAGCAGTACATGACCTACCAGTTTCATAATGAGGTATTCCATTTACGGACTATTTTGCTGCAATATCTTCCCACCTTCACACTCGTTGGCAACAACTTTGGTCTACTATGCTCGGCAACAAACTTCAATCTATTAAACCGAGTATAGGTTACTGGCCATCTTGTTATCACCAGTGTCGAGGTTGGGAGAGTACTCTCTCCTGTCTTCGCATTGGCCATACTCGTCTTACTCATGGATATCTCATGGAGAGGCGCCCTGCTCCTCTCTGTGAGAATTGCCAAGCTCCATTATCAGTCAGCCACATTCTGTTGGACTGCCCACTTTATCAACGACCATGCAGAATTTACCTCCGTCGTCGTCTTCGCTCCGCTGCTCTCTCTTTACCTTCCCTTCTCGCTGATGGACCCACCTTTCATCCGGACTCTCTCATTGACTTTTTGACAACAACTGACTTACTTCACAAATTCTGATACCTTCAGCCCTTTCTACTTCAATCTCTTGCTACCCTCTACCCCCGTACTATCCCCTGCCCCGCTGTTTTCTGTAACCCACTGATCATCCCTCCTCCCTTCTGCCACCCAATACCCTCGCTTCCTTCCCTTCCCTGCAGCGCTGTATAGCCCTTGTGGCTTAGCGCTTCTTTTTGATTATAATAATAATAATTGCCTCCTTTTTCTCACCCTATTCCTTTCTCTTGCCAACAGAGAGAGATATAATAGAGATATAGCTAGAAATAGATAGATAACTAGATGTAGATAGATAACTAGAAGTAGATAACTAGATATAGATAGCTAGCTAGAGAGAGAGCTAGATAACTAGCTAGAGAGATAGCTAGATTGCTAGTGAGAGAGAGATATAGAGTGCTAGAGAGAGAGAAAGAGATAGAGAGAGCTAGAGAAATACCCAGATATAAATAGAGATATAGATAGATACAGAGAGAGAGAGAGAGAGAGAGAGAGAGAGAGAGAGAGAGAGACACACACTGAGACTCCTCTCACCTATTCTTCCTGTTCCTCCTCTCTTGTTCTCCAATTCTACCTACCCCTCCTGTCCCTTCCCTTTTACTTCTTCTTTCTTCTACTCTTATCCTCTTTCCTTTATCTTTCTGCTGCTTATTTTCTCTTTATTGTCCACTTTTCTACTTTTCCATCCCATACTCAGTAAAATGGTATGGTATGCATAGCCATCTGACACAGACTGGCAGGGGCAAACACTGTCCAGGTTGGAGCACTTCAGAGATTTGGCATTGATAAAAAAATTTTACCTGTGCAGAGCTCTTGTAAAATGTTAGGAATGCAGTACATGCCCTTGTTCTACTGCACACACATATATACATGTACACTGAGACAGTACTGTAGCCCCTTTCCTCAAATCTAAGATTGGAAGCTATGAACATTAGGTCTTACTATATTACTGCTTGCTCAAACATTTATCAAAACATTGAGGAAAATTACAGTTTCTTATAGAACTAAAGTAAAGCTTTCTTAATAGCAGTCTTGACTAGTGACCTCAGAGCCTACAGATGTTCAGGGGAAGGAGTGGCAACCCAGGTACATTGGGACACCAGCTTTCAAATTTGGTAGCCTAGGAGATGGATGATAGATTTGTACATTAATGGTTATACAGTAATACATACAGTATAAATGAAAAACTTGAAAATCTTGATTGAAGAGATAAAAAGAAATCTTCAAGCTGGTGCTAAAGGAAAATTGTGGAAAAAATTTTATAACTAAGGATGGTTAAACCAGTAGGTCATTTGTTACACATTAAATACTCAAAATAAAAATCAAGAGCATAAAACAAAAAAAAATCTGTTCATACTTGGTTCAAAAAATATAAATTTAAAACAACTTTAAAAGGAAATAAAGGAAAATAAACAAAGATAGTGGGGTAATTATTTGAGACAAATGTCCTGTATTTATTCCTACACCAAATTTTTCTTAAGCCTCTTATTAAACCTTGTCCTGTGATTCTTCTTTCCTGTGAGACTGTCATTCTGCTTTAGATTTTAGTTTGTACAAAATCTTTAAAAATTCATATACAGTAATGTTTATCTTTTTGTTTCAGGTATTTGAACGCTTCAATGTACTGGTGAGGTTAATGCTGGATGAAACTGATATAGAAGATTGTATGTCTATTAGCAGTGAAGATAGTACAATATAAATTTTAGTGATTTTTGTTTTTCAAAGGTCTTTTAAGATTTATATTTTAACAAAAAACTTTTGATATTAAAGTACTGTACAACATTCAGTTTGTAGTGTTTGTTTTAATTACCATCTGTACTTTAAACAAACTGTTGTTTACAATATTTGCCAGTCAAAGAAAAACAAGAATTTAACGAGTGGAAGGACTTAACAATTGTGTAAATGACTATTCATTAAACAAATGCTTTTGATAATGCAAATAAAAATGTAATTTTGAATGAACTAAAGCTGACAGTGGTGGCCAGTTGTTATACTGGATCCTTGATTATTTTGTTAACTGAAAGTTTGTGGCATTATTTCAGGGATATGAAAGTGAAATGAAACTTAGCACTCTCAAAATTTTGTGCATAATACCCATGCAGTTTACTGTACTAAACCTTTCAGTGACTGTCACGTAGATCTACGCCATTTACGCCAGGATCCATCGTGTAGTTTTTACATCATGAACTTGGGCCAGATAAGCTGTGAGCAGTTGATTTTGGCTTAGATATGAGAGAATAGGTCTGTGCAGTGAGTGTGCACATCATAAAAAAATATCCTGCTCCACGAGGTTCACAATGGGAAAAGCAAAACTCTGACCTTGTGTTTGGTTGAAAATAGTGATCTGAGGTGTTTTCTAGGATAATTTTTATGGTTTTATTGACTGTTTCTTGATATCATTTGATAGTGTGGAAGTCATACTACTGAAATAAAGATGATTTTGCTTTTGTTTTAGGACCGAAACTAGCTTGAAATTATGCTCAAATTAGCAGAAATATTCGATTTTTGCCAGTTTTTCTGAAGATGAGTAAGGCCTCCTATACCCCCAGTCTGTTTTATGGGTTTTTAATAGGTCTGATTCAATTATTTGGACACGATAAACCATGACCAAGCATTCCTGGTTATATCTTCTATTTTTGTGTGATTATGAATTCCGATTGGAAGGCAAGTGTAATGTAGGAGATGCCTGGGGACATGATTAATGAATAGAGGAAATATTGTTTCAGTGCTAGGAATATCTAAATTGTTTTATTTTGAATTTGAATTTGTATTTTTTTAATTTTGTGTAAAATTGGCCAAATTACCAACTTCTGTGCACTTTATAAGGTAGGTATAATAGTTGTTCAATTGATGATAGAGCAGAAGGCCTATTAGCAAAATAGCTAAGAATTTTGTTAAATGAACTCAAAGTGGGCGTCAGGACTGCTATGAACCTTCGTAATTTTGTAAGTTTTCCATCAATTTCGCACTTTTGTTGAAATTACCTTCAGAAAAGGATTCTCTACCATTTCCATAGCTTTTTTAAGTGGACACTTAGAGAAATACTGATTGTGGGGGGTCTGGACAGTGAAAGAGTTAGTCAATACCTTATTAACATCAATATATGCTGATAATATTCTTGTACATACCAAAACCTGTTGCAAAATACAAACCATAATAAATTACAGACATAGTCTTACAGTTTCTGTAAAAAGAAAAAAAAAATTAATATTCTTGTACATACCAAAACCTGTTGGAAAATACAAACCATAAAAATAATTTTCATATAGTCGGACTTGAGTCCTGGAAATGGGAAGTACAATGCCTGCACTTTAAAGGAGGGGTTTGGGATATTGGCAGTTTGGAGGGATATGTTGTGTATCTTTATATGTGTATGCTTCTAGACTGTTGTATTCTGAGCACCTCTGCAAAAACAGTGATAATGTGGGAGTGTGGTGAAAGTGTTGAATGATGATGAAAGTATTTTCTTTTTGGGGATTTTCTTTCTTTTTTGGGTCACCCTGCCTCGGTGGGAGACGGCCGACTTGTTGAAAAAAAAAAAAAATAAAAAAATAAATTACAGAGACATAGTCTTAGTTTCTGTAAAAAAAAGAAAGATTATAGGTTTTTAATAAACAATAATTTAAAATGCCTGCATTTTAAAGGAAGGGTTTGGGATATTTGCTGTTTGGAGTGACATCTAAACTATCATGTCTGGGCACCACCTCTGAAAAGAGTGATTGTGTGAATGATGGTAAAGGTGTTTATTTTTTGGAGTCACCCTGCTTCGGTTAGAGACAGCCAATGTGTTAAATTTAAAAACAAAAAAATCAGAATGGACATTTGACACTTATTTTGCAAATATAATTCTAATAATAATAGACAAATTGATAATCAGAAAAAAAAATTAGAACAAAATTGAAGGTAAATGGCAAATCTATTGCTTTCTCTTTTAAATATCTTAACAGTTGTAGTAGGTGGGACAGAAACAGATCAAGAATGTGGAGATAAGTCTCAAAACTTAGAACTATAATTTAGCACAGTTTAAAATGTCTGAAAGTATTTATACTAGATTATTATCAAATTATTACACGCCAGCTTTAGTTACACAATTTAGCAATTAACCATAAATATAATTTAGTAATACAAAACCATAGAAGCATTTGTAGACTTGAAAAAAGACAATTGAAGCCTAAAATACAGTTATGTTACAGTTTTCCAGGAAGTGTCTCAGGTCAGCATCTTTAATGTAGCTTAATATTTTGAAGGTGTAGAGTTAACAGTAGTAAGTACGGTATGTATGGTAGTAACATTTAGTAGGGCGAGTGATTTGATTAAAGCTGTGATGGATATGTGGATCAGCAGACCACCAGCAGCAACAACCTGGGTGACCAGGCAAGCACCAGACCAGCCTGATGCATGGCCCAGCTCTGGGAGTAGAAAAACTCTCATTACTCATCAAAGGTAAGGGTATATTGTACTGCCTGTAATTTAAGTGTGTAAGAGATCTATTATGATAGTTTTTTTTTTTTTTTTTTTTTTTTTTGTGTGTGTGTGTGTGTGTTGTGTGTTTTGATTGGTTTGTGCCAGATACCCCCCCAAGGAAGGTTCTTTGATGCTGGTGAGGGGCTCTTGATCTAGGGAACTGGATCTGTGCTCTAGTTCCCTGAATACCTTCCATTCTCCCCCACAGGTGCTGTATAATCCTACAGGTTTAGCGCTTTACCCTTGATTCTAAGAATAATAATTGTGCCACATAGCTGAGGTAGAGCCCCAGGCATAAATTTCACAATGGTGTTATGGGTAAATGAGAATGAAGTACAGTACAGTGTTAGTCGAATAGATTTGGGAACAATGAATTTTTGAGTATGCAGTAAACCATCATTTAATGCAAAATTGGACTCTGCAATTTTGTCTTAACTACAGAATTAAAAACTGCAACCAAAAAGTCATGCAGTATTTGATTACATTTATGGGGGAGCACCAAATATGTAGCTGTCATGTAGTGCTTGCAGAATGGGTGGCATTTAAGTTTGATCCAAGGGAGGGGAGGTTAGGTTATGTCCAGTAACTTTGATTAAAAGCCTCTAACTAGCATCAGGGCATCTCCCTTGAGAAGATCAAAAAAGTCATAGCATGTAACTGTCATAGAATGTAAAAATTCTTATTACACTGCAAAACTTAGCAGCTAATGTATGCACCTATAGGTAGTACTCCTCACAGTGGATTTTGTCCTGTCCCCCTGAGCATATGGGTTGAATGGAGAGGCACAGCTTCCATTCCTGCACTGCCACCCATGATACCTGAGGTTGCTTCCTGGGGGGCATTGCGTGTGGTAGTCCTGTGAATTGCTGTTAAACATTTTTATAATACAGTACGTACTGTTAAGGAATGGGTCAGAGTATTGGTATCTGTATTGGCTGATTTTGGTGGTATTAGTATTGGCCTACTGAGCTTTAGGAAGGCAAAAATTTGGTGTCATATCCCTAGTAATGATAGACTAAATATTAGCACTACTCAAGATAGGACTGCATTAGTAAATAAGCTCTTGAAAACCATCCCCTCAAAGGAGGTTCCTTGATGCTGGTGAGGGGCTCTTGATCTAGAAAATTGAATCTGCTCCGGTTCCCTGGATTGAGTCTGAATTGTACCTTCCATTCCCCTTCCCCCCCCATGCGCTCTATAATACTACAGGTTTAGCACCCCCATAATTATTATAATCTTGAAACCCATCAAAGGTAATTATTTATGTTAGTTTGATCACTACCTTTGTGGATGGACATTATCTTGGCCTTTCTGAGGTCCATGATAACATGGTGCATTCTCAAAGTGAATTATTGAAAAGTATTGAAATGGGTGGAGATAATTCACATGCAGCTTTCTTGTAGATAAATGATAGTTATTTTTTCTGTACTACTATCTCAAATTTTAAGTGATTAAATGATTGAGGCTGTTTCAGTGATTGTGGTATATGCCAAGTAGAATAATTATTATAATCATAGGGTGGGAGGGGGCAGATAACCCTTAACTTCCTTTAGCACTTCAAACTGTTCTAAGTTGCATCATACTCTCCACTCTCGCTAGTCTCTGATCAAGCTTGTTAAACCTTTATCATGCCCTGCCCTGCAGTACTGTATGACCCTTGTGGGTTTGGCGCTTAGTTATGATGATTACTACTAATAATATAGCGCCTGGAGAAATTGCAGGCATTCCGGTTGGATGGAATGAAGGGAAGAGCAGGTCCAATTCTTTGGATCAAGAATCAAGGACCCCAATGGAAATAAGTCACTATCTTGACTTTCTTGGGTTATCCTGGGTAATCTACACATATGCTGCTATATATGATAATTTATATAACTATTTGTGTACCTATACCTGAATAAAACTTCCTAGAATACTTCCCTAAAGGGTTCATGCAATCCTAAGACCGTATAAACCTTTCAACCCAACAATAACAAGGTCTGGATTATCCTGAGCTGCATCCTGCACGTATCCTCGAAATATACTGTATATACTGGCCACTGCTGCCTCATACTTGAACCATACACACTGTTTAACCATAAGTAGGTGCTGATGACCTCTGGTAATCAGAGCACTTAAAGCAGGAGGTCAGGAGAGAGAGGAATCAGCGGGCGTGTGTATGTTCCAGTAAAAAGTACATGGCAGACCTTGGTAAGGACAAGCTGCTACCTCCTGCAGGCAGCCAGGAGGACAAGCCATCTTCAGACAGCCAGGAGAACAAGGCATCTTCAAGAAGTAAAGATGAACCATCTTCAGACAGCCAGGAGGATAAACCATCTTCAGACAGCCAGGAGGACAAGCCATCTTTAGACAGCCAGGAGGACAAGCCATCTTCAGACAGCCAGGAGAACAAGCCATCTTCAGACAGCCAGGAGAACAAGGCATCTTCAAGAAGTAAAGATGAACCATCTTCAGACAGCCAGGAGGATAAACCATCTTCAGACAGCCAGGAGGACAAGCCATCTTTAGACAGCCAGGAGGACAAGCCATCTTTAGACAGCCAGGAGGACAAGCCATCTTTAGACAGCCAGGAGGACAAGCCATCTTTAGACAGCCAGGAGGACAAGCCATCTTTAGACAGCCAGGAGGACAAGCCATCTTTAGACAGCCAGGAGGACAAGCCATCTTTAGACAGCCAGGAGGACAAGCCATCTTTAGACAGCCAGGAGGACAAGCCATCTTTAGACAGCCAGGAGGACAAGCCATCTTTAGACAGCCAGGAGGACAAGCCATCTTCAGACAGCCAGGAGGACAAGCCATCTTCAGACAGCCAGGAGGACAAGCCATCTTCAGACAGCCAGGAGGACAAGCCATCTTCAGACAGCCAGGAGAACAAGGCATCTTCAAGAAGTAAAGATGAACCATCTTCAGACAGCCAGGAGGATAAACTCTCTTCAGGCAGTGAGGACAAGCCTCAACCCGAGATCATTAGACTCGTCAATTCCGGCGACATTAATGCCATAAAGAATTTATTGCTGACGGGAGAAGCTAAAGTGGGAGAGAGTGACAGCAGCGGCATGACAGCGCTCCATCATGCTGCCTACAAGGGTAATGCTAACCTCTGTAAGATGCTCCTAGCACATGTAAGTATGATTATTGTAGGATTATCCTTGTAGCTCTGGCACTACCCCTCAAGGGAGGTTCCTTGATGCTGGTGAGGGGCTCTTGATCTAGGGAATTGGATCTGTGCTCCAGTTCCCTGAATTGAACCTGAATACCGTATTTCGCACTTATAAGACTTGTTTTAGTTTCAATGGCTCAGCATCGGATGTAACTGGGAGAGCTACAGCCCACCTCACACCCCAAAATTATAGCTCTTGTCACTGACCTTCAGTTTGTAGGATGCAGGGTGGTTTTTGGAGACATTTTATGGAAAAGAAAATCCCTCTTAATCCGTGAAATACGGTACCTTCCATCCACCCCCCCACATGCGCTGTATAATTCTGTGGGTTTATCGCTCCCCCATAATTATAATAATAGTCTGGCACTGTAGGTAGTGGAAAATGTAGTATTGTAAGTGAAAATATAAATTTAGATAATGATGAGATTTGTTTGGATTTTTAGCTTGGGGCACGGAGGGTTAGCTACCCAGGATAACCCAAGAAAGTCATTGCATCATTGAGGACTGTCTGTCTTATTTCCATTGTGGTCCTTCAATGTTGTCTCCCAGGATGCCACCCACACTGGTTACCTAACACCCAGGTACCTACTTACTGCTAGGTAAACAGTGACAGGTGTAAGGAAACATGCCCAACATTTCCACCTGTGCCGGGTATTGAACCACAGACATTCAGTGTGTGAGGGTGAAGCGAGTGCATTGCCTCCATACCCATGGGACACCATAGCCTATACTGAAGTTCTCTTATCACCCTGAAGTAAATTTTTTTTATATATAATTTGAATAAATGTTCCCTACCTACTTACTCCTTCCTCTTTCTCAGGGATGGGACAGCCCCACCCTAACTAACTCCTAGGGATATTTTCATTTACAATACTGTAGTGGAAAATCCCTGCGAGAGGTTCTTTGATGCCAGTGAGGGGCTCTTGATATAAGGAATTATACCTGCCCTCCCCTTCCTTGGATTGAACTTGAATGCCTTCCATCCACCAAGGGGTTTAGTGCTCCCCCATGAATGTAATAATAATGTAGTGGAAAATGAAAATATAAAAAATGCAGTGGTTAATTCTTGAAAATGCTTAGTAGTTTAATGTTAATATTTATTACTTTAATTAGTTGACTAAACATTAAGCATTCTCAAAATATTAATTAGATACAGTACAGAATAGAATTTTTTGAAATAAAAAAATTGGGAGTTTAATTTACAATCATTAGATGGTACTGATTACTATTATTTTAAATGGGAAAACACTAATCCCACAGGGGTCATACAATGCTGGGGAGATGTCAGGCAATCAGATATGATCCAAGGAAGGCAAAGATTTATCCACTTCTTGGCTCAAGTTTCCACTCACTAGCATCAAGGACAGATAGTCCTGAGAGTGGCTATTAAAGTTTGAATAAAGTGATCCATCCATCCTTTAACACAAGGGCATTTGATACAAGGAATTGGATTTACCCTTCCCTTTCTTCAGATTAAAGTTGACTAGTTCCCCAGGTGTTATATAACTCATGCTGGTTTAGCTCTTCCTTAAGAATATTATAATAAACATCTGAACTCCATTATTATTTTTATTTTTTCTATTTTCTAGGGACTAGATGTTAACTCTGATACACATGACCATCGATATTCTGCATTACATTTTGCTGCACTTTCTGGAAGCACAGAGACAGTACAGCAATTATTAACTGCTGGAGCTAAGACCTACCATACCAACACGTTGGGTAGAACTGCTGCGCAGATGGCAGCATTTGTGGGAAACCATGCAGTCGTAGCACTGATAAACAACTATTTGCCTATAAGTGCAGTGATGAAGTATACAGTGCCAAGAGGGCTTGAGAAAGAGGCAAAGCTGCCTGTTATAGCTGCTAAACCCCTCTATGATCTTATCATGCAGGTGAGAGACTAGTGTTATTTCCAGATTTTGAAGTTTGTTCAATCATTGCATAACTTAAGCAAAATGCAAAGTATCATGCATCTCAGCATAAGAAAAACATGATATAGGCTCTTAAGAGAGTGAAATATACAGGCTTAGGATATTTTTGTGAATGCAACTTAATAATATACATACATATATGCTTATGCATATTCAACAGAATATGCATGATGTGTGAGAGGATGGGTCAATAAATAATCTGCTGATCTTTAGTTTTTATATTGGCAGGTTAATCTTCATCCAGTGAAAATTTCCATCTTCGTGGAAAATTCAGAAGTGCTTCAAAATAATATTACAAGTGCATGGAAAGTTTTGGAAATTATGTGTGAGAAGGAGAGTAAATGCCCAGAAAATGTTAATGAGGTGAGTCATACAGCTAAGCAGTATGTACATAGCTCATCTACTATTTAAACCCCCTTAAGGGGGGGGGAGGAAGGTTCTACCTTGATACTGGTGAAGATCTGATCAAGAGATTTGAAACTATCCTTCCCTTCCTTGCCTCTAACCTGATACCTCCCATTCTATAGGCACTGCTGTACAACTCAGAGGTTTAGCACCTCATCAGTTTATAATAGTCTTGTACCTCTATTTTCTCTTACATGTCATGTATGTGTACTAGGTACAGACATGGACAGTTTGTTGAGGTAAACATACCATTTATTATTCACTGTAGCAGAATAATTTACTTATGCTGTATATTATCTGTATTATAATACAGATCTTTTCTTAAGACTATCACTATTTTGGGGACTGCTGCAAATGTTTAATTTTTTAATATAAGCTGCATTTCTTGTGTAATAACTTAACTAGTATATGGATTTCTTGGTCAGTGTTTTAAGCCATATATGTATGTGTTCACTTAAAGAGTATACATATTTAAGTACATATTAATTTTGTAAGTGTATCTTGCTATGGGTATCTCGCCTGAATATTCTTTAAATAAAATATTTAAAATACATTTAACAAAAACTTCTTTCATTGCAGGTTATTTGTATGAAGCTTCATTATCTAGCATTTGTTTTAAAGACCCTAGAAAAGGAACTGAAAAAACTTGAGCCCATGATGAAACAAAAAGAATTTGCCAAGGACAACTTAATATTTGAAAGTATCATCAGGAAATGGCTGAGGAAGCGTCAGCCAGATGGATTTGAGGAACATCTGGAATATTACATTAGAGATGCAATAAAGTCTTTTCCATACATTGAAATGCCATTATTTATACAACTTGTCAGAAATATAACTTCAGGAAATATTGGAGACACATTTGCTCTCACTATACTTAGTGGGTGTATAAATGGGCAGCGCGCTTTTGACGATAACTCTTGTTCAACGTGTGGTCAAGAGCTCGAAAGCTTAAAGAGGTGTTCAAAGTGCAAGAGTGCACAATATTGTAGCCGTAGTTGCCAAAAACTTCACTGGCCAATTCACAAGAAGTTCTGTTAAAATTTTTAAAAGAAAACAAGTAGAACTGAAAAAACAAAATAAACATTTTGTGACTATAGCAGAAATTATAATGGCATTTAAAGGTGTAAGTTCTTTGTATTTTTGCACCCTGTGTTTTTTATTTATTAATATTTGTGTAGTATTAAACTTTGTGATTGCATTTAATTGCTGAAAAACTTACTAGTTTTTACAGAAATTGATAAAATATTTTTTTCATTGGGATACTGTACTAGTGCCATATTTTATAATTATTGAGTTACTGGTATATAAATGTCATTCTAAAAACTCTGAATTGCAGAATCTATGAATATAATATAATCACCCAATTCTGACAATCAAAACGTAATAAAAAATAATTTTTATTATGTTTTGATTGTCAGAATTAAACAGTACTATGTTTGTGTAAAATGGTGAAGCCATGAAGAATGTATTCTGTTAGCATAGTTTACTGGCCAGTGCAGTTGTTTATAATAAGTATTTTCAAAAGAGGATATTTTACCTGGAGATGGGATGTACAGTGCCTGCACACTGAAGGAGGGGTGTTAATTTTTACCACTGAATACATCATTGCTTAATTAATCATAAGTTAATTTTAAGGGCTTTTGGCATGTACACCCAATCACTATATTTCTTTGTACAACTATGTATCATGTCCAAATAAAAAATAAATAAATAAATAAAAATGTTGCAGTTTACAACTGTAGTGTAAGCACGCCTCTGGCAAGACAGTGATGGAGTGAATGATGAAAGTTTATTATTTTTGGGCCACCCTGCCTTGGTAGGAGACAGCTGATGTGTTAATAATAAAACTAGAGGGCATTGTACTGAAATGGGAAAAATGTAAATTCTAGAGAACAGTGAAATGTGTGCTGGATAGTCTAATGGGACGTGGAATATTTTTTTTCTTGGATATTCACTTGTGAAGTGAACCCCAGATGCTTGTGACCACAGGCAAGGGTATAGCCATTAAACTGTGAACTGCCGTATACCCGACAGTTAATTAATGTTAGTTAGGATGGTTGAAGGATGTTATGTGTACGTGATACACAGAATAATTGCATAACACCAACAAATGAGTTATTGTACTTTTATCACCTGAAATAAAAAAATTATCTTTATTCCTCTTTACTTGATTATTATCTTAAACAAGATTTATAGTGTGTGGGATATTTCTTCATTGGAAAAGTGGGTGCTCAGCACCACTTTGCAAAGATTTTCGTGGTGCCCGGACAGTCCACCATCTCGATTGTCGACTACCACCAGTTTTCCAGCATCATCAGGCATACGAGGGCACAGCCGGAAGTTAAAAGCACAGATGTGTCACAAGGATGTAAGGAAACACTTCTTTAGCCTACACAGTGAAGTGTAGAGGCAGGATTCATACGTGGTTTTTAAGAATAGGTATGATAGGGCTCATGTAGCCATGAGTATGTGAACTCAATAGTGCCCAGCAGAGGGTTGGGGGTCAGGAGGTGAGATTAAGACCCCTGCAACTACAATTAGGTGAGTACAGCAACAATTATCACCAACATCATTGCAATCAACTACCAAAACCTATCACCATCACAACTGGAACAACTGTCATTTCCTACCTGAACATTAACAACAGTCACCACTACTGACACCAATCCTTACCACAATTACCCGAAAAACCTCACCACTACTAGAACAATAATCCTCGCCACTACCTGTGGCTCAGTTGGCAGTGCACTCGCCTCACACTGAGTAATCATGGTTCAATCCCTGGTACGGGTGGAAATTTTGGGCATGTTTCCTTACACCTGTTGTCCCTGTTCACTTAGCAGTAAGTAGGTACCTGAGTGTTAGACTGGTGTGGGTAGCATCCTGGGGGAACAAGATTAAGATAAGATTTCGTTCGGATTTTTAACCCCGGAGGGTTAGCCACCCAGGATAACCCAAGAAAGTCAGGGCGTCATCGAGACCTGTCTAACTTATTTCCATTGAGGTCCTTAATCTTGTCCCCCAGGATGCGACCCACACCAGTCGACTAACACCCAGGTACCTATCTGCTGCTAGGTGAACAGGACAACAGGTGTAAGGAAACATGTCGAAATGTTTCCACCCGGGAATCGAACCCGGGCCCTCCGTGTGTGAAGCGGGAGCTTTAGCCATCAGGCCACTACAATGGAAACATGACACAGTCCTTAGTAATGCACTGACTTTCTTGTGTTATCCTGGGTGGCTAACCCTCCCTGCCCTTCCAGGGAAATTCCTTGATGCTGGTGAGGGGCTCTTGGATCTGTGCTCCAGTTTCCTGAATTGAGCCTGAATACCTTCCATATCCCCCCCATGTGAGCATGGGGGGGATATGGAAGATATGGGGGATATGGTTATCCTGGGTTGCTAACCCTCCCTACCCCGGGTTATCCTGGGTAGCTAACCCTCCATACCCCGGGTTATCCTGGGTGGCTTAAGATAAGATTTCGTTCGGAATTTTAACCCCGGAGGGTTAGCCACCCAGGATAACCCAAGAAAGTCAGTGCGTCATCGAGGACTGTCTAACTTATTTCCATTGGGGTCCTTAATCTTGTCCCCCAGGATGCGACCCACACCAGTCGACTAACACCCAGGTACCTATTTGCTGCTAGGTGAACAGGACAACAGGTATAAGGAAACGTGTCGAAATGTTTCCACCCGCCGGGAATCGAACCCGGGCCCTCCGTGTGTGAAGCGGGAGCTTTAGCCACCAGGCCACCGGGACACCCTCCCTACCCTGGGTTATCCTGGGTGTTAACCCTCCCCCGGGGTTAAAAATCCGAACTAATCTTAACTGTTCTCACCACTACTATCGGAACAGTCACCACTTGGAACAACAATCACCACTACTGTAACAACCACCACTAATAACAATCACCACTAACAATCACTACTGTAACAATCACAACCACCACTATAACAATCACCACCACTACTGTAACACCACTAACAATCACCACCACTATCACCACCACCACTAACAATCATCACTAACATTCACCACTAACAATCACCACTAACAATCATTAACAATCACCACTATAACATTCACCACTAACAATCATCACTAACAGTCACCACCACCACTAACAATCACCACCACCACCGCTAACAATCACCACTAACAATCATCACTACCACTAACACTCACCACCACTAACAATCATCACTAACAATCACCACCACCACTAACAATCATCAACAATCACCACCACCACTAACAATCACCACCACCACCGCTAACAATCACCACCACCACTAACAATCATCACTACCACTAACAATCACCACCACTAACAATCATCACTAACAATCACCACTAACAATCATTATCACCACTATAAACAATCACCACCACTAACAATCATCACTAACAATCACCACTAACAATCATCACCACCGCTAACAATCACCACTACCACTAACAATCATCACCACTACCACTAACAATCATCACCACTACCACTAACAATCACCACCACTAACAATCATCACTACCAATCACCACCACCACTAACAATCACCACCACCAGGGGTCCTGCTCAGTCCTGGCTGCTTCACTTTACGCTTCACCTCTCACCCGTGAGGACGTCCGCTCGTTACTTCTGAGAATTCTTGAAGAAAACCCACAGAAAGAATATACTTTTATCACGAAGACAGAACAGTTTTAGAGGATATATTCGTAAGTGTTGAAACTTTAAATATATTGAGACGTTGGATATTTTTGACAATATCATCCAAGACTTCAAAACTATAATTCACGTTAATATACAAGTGTGGTTCTAGGCCTATAGGCATCAAACATGGGTTTGCTAACATTAGTATTGGCTTGTGCCATAGCCGGTCTGGCTATTTACGTGTGTGAAAAGAAAAAGAAAGGAAGGAAAGCGAATGCATAGATAAAAACCTTAACAGAATGAGGCACAGCTACATCAACTTGCACAACAAATTTAAAATGCTGATCAGGATAAATTTGCTCACTACTAGTTGAGAAAATGTAAGAAATTAGGATATACACCAAGAAGATATATTCAGATAATGCTTGGATGCAACATTGAACATTCCTGCACACAATGCAGCACCAATAGGCTAAACACTAGTTTACATTACTGCTTCTAGACCTAGGTGTTAGTAGGCTTGATGATGGCTTCCTGGGGAGGACCTAACCACACTTTTGGGTTATTAACTCTCCAAGGTTAATAATCAAAATATAGTTTTTAAATCTAGTTCGCTTTTTGAGTGTATAGAGACGCCATGCTTGCTTAGACCAGAATGATCTTTCCTACATATAAAAACTCCAGAAAGAAACGATACTATTACTACCTCTGGGTTTAGCGCTCCCCCTAGATTGTAATAATAATTACTACAACAGAAGCACAGATAATAACAGCAATATTGACAACACCTCGACCAGGAGTATCAGAACTACTGGATCTGAAATAGCAGTCGGTATCAAATTTGAACAATTTAAGCGACATATTCTTGTACACCTGGACCAAATTCTCTCTGCTGACTAAATGAACAACACACAATGAAACTAAAAAACTTCCTTACTGCTATTTATCGAAAGTTAATGAGACTAATCATTTAGTATTTTGTCATTTAGACAAAAATATTTACCAACACTGAACCAGGATCCTCCAGCCAGTGTCATATCAATATAAAAAAATGGTATAAATATTAGGGAAAATTTAAGAAAGCCATATAACCAATAAGAACACGTTAGCACTGCTGGCCTACCAATAATAAGTCAAAAGTAGCCCATTGAATATATTTGAAATCTAGTCCTACGAACAGTAGGATCAAAGGAATTAATTACTGTAATAGGAAAATTGTGTGGATAGTTATAGGAAATAAAAATAGTAACATTTTGATAAAATACTTCAAATTCGAGATCACTACAGTTCAACCTATTTAAAAAAAAAGGTGTAATTCACTACAAAATCCGCTAATTTATTAGCCACTGGATATTGGGGCTTAGTAGCTCAAGAACACTGTCGATATGCAAGTTATATATGAAGCACAAGGATATCACTAATGAATGATGCACAGGACACAATAACCAGTGTATGTTGCACAGGACACAATAACCAGTGTATGTTGCACAGGACACAATAACCAGTGTATGATGCACAGGACACAATAACCAGTGTCTGATGCACAGGACACAATAACCAGTGTCTGATGCACAGGACACAATAACCAGTGTATGATGCACAGGACACAATAACCAGTGTATGATGCACAGGACACAATAACCAGTGTATGATGCACAGGACACAATAACCAGTGTATGATGCACAAGAATATTGTTACTTCTTGCTACACAATCAGTACCATAAGCCAGTTAGGGCCTGGACAACGTTAAGGAAGCAGCATGACCTGGCCTGACCTTATGGAATGGCTGGATGAGAACAAAATTGTCATCATTGCAGTCACATGCTCAGGTGAGTAAGTTCATTATCTATATCTGTCTGTGTATATTATTATTGTATGTTTGTAAGCGTTCAGTATATATAAATCTCTTGTATAATCTTTAGTTCAGTGATGTACCTGTAATGGCCTAGCTCCTCCAGACTGGGTTAGTCTTGCAGTTCTTATCAAACACCTTCTTGCAGTCCAAAACTCAATAATCCACTCACTCCTCTTGTTTATGGTCGCATAAGATTCTGATTCTTCCCAGTATTCCCATGGGAATATGCTGTCTGGTCCCATTGATTTTGTTAGTAGTTTAGTAGTAGTTTTGTTAGTACTTTCATCACGTCTTCTATGTTGTGTATTCTCTAGTTACTTATGGCTGGTTCTAAGTCCGCATGCATGTAACTAATTTTTTTGTATATTTGTGTCAGCCTTTGTTGACAATACAAAGAAAGGCTGAGAGCACTTAGAGTTGTGACAGGTTTTCATCCCAGGTATGGAGCTAATGTTAAAATTGTGAAAATGATGTATCTTGCTTATATTAGATCATTGGTTGATTATGCTGCGCCACTACTTGCTCTTGTCTGACTGGAAGCTTGGAGGGCTGGAAAAACTGCAAAACGAAGCAATGATAATTATCCTAGGATGCCCTCGTACTGCCAAAATTTTAAATATGCAGAAAACTTAATATTCCAAGCATTAGAGATCGTGTTACTGAAAGAAATATCTTTATTGGGGTCAGTATGCTTAGGTTAGCCCATTCAAACCCCTGCACAGAAGCCCTCCAAACTTTCCTCAGCACTGGTGAACATCCTTCCAGATGGATCGAAAAAACTGGAACCGACCTCATGAACCAGCTACATGATCTGTGTCAAGTTAGGCAGCAGACACTTCCCTGCTCCATGGGATATTACCTCATTCCAAACTATCATTCCTCCATTTCCCCCCCCCCCAACTCTTCTTAAATCACAACCAAAGCTTCGTCTTGAAGCCAAACATGATGCCTTAAGCTGTATTGATAACTTAGTCACACAGAACACACTCACAAATTATTTACGTTGATGGTTCTGTTCACCAGTCCACTGGTGCAGCTGGTAGTGCTGCTGTTGTCATTCAGAGTGATGGCTCTCATAAAGAAATTGGAGCACGCATCAATAACTGGGCCTCTACCCTTCAAACAGAATTGTTTGCCATACTCCTTGCACTCAAATGCGTCCATGTATCTAAGGTTGACACTTTAATTGTAACTGATTCTCTGTCATCCATAAATGCTCTCAACTCATTAAGCATAAATTGTGGCATGCTTGTGTCAGAAGCCAGACACAGGTATGATAAGATTGTGGACAGTGGAGTCAGAGTGCACATGCTGTGGATTCCATCTCACATTGGTCTTCAGATGCATGATAGAACTGATAAATTGGCTAAGCTGTATGATTTCAAAGAGGGAGTAGATTACAATCTTGGGTTGTCAGTTAGCAGTTTGAGAACAATAATAGGAAAAGAACTTCAATTGAACTTTATTGACTTAAGACTTAGGGAGATTGACACAAGTCAGTCCATCTATCATCATTCCATCATGCAGGAGGAGCCACATGTCTGTGGTGCATCCAACAAGATAAGCAAACTCTTGGATGTCACTACCGCCCGGCTCCGGCTGGGTTACAAGTATCTTTGGCAGGTTAAATCACCACCACCAGATGTAGACCAAACGAAATGTAAACTTTGCCAGATGGACTATTGTCACACCTTGCGTCATTATGTACTGGAGTGTGATCAGATTAATGAATTTAGAGACAACTCACTTAGAAATGTTCAAGAAATGGCAAAGTATTTTATCCACAGTGGTATATTACAGACCATTCTGGAGAAATACCTTGACTTTGCTAGCTGTAAATAATGCATTACCATGTGTGTGTGTGTGTGTGTACTCACCTAATTGTGGTTGCAGGGGCCGAGACTCGGCTCCTGGCTCCGTGTGTGTATGTGGGGGGGGATGTGTGGGGGTGATGTGTGTGTGGGGTGGATGTGTGTGTGGGGGGGGTGCGTGCTTGTGTGTATGCATATATTTGTACGCTCGTGTGCATATGTCTGTCTGTGCGTGCGCGCGCGCGCGCGCGCGCGTGTGTGTGTGTGTGTGTGTGTGTGTGTGTGTGTGTGTGTGTGTGTGTACTCACCTATTTGTAACCACCTATTTGTGGTTGCAGGGGTCGATTCACAGCTCCTGGCCCCGCCTCTTCGCTGATTGCTACTAGGTCCTCTCTCTCCCTGCCCCATGAGCTCTATCATACCTCGCCTTAAAACTATGTATGGTTCCCGCCTCCACTACGTCACTTTCTAGGCTATTCCACAGCCTGACTACTCTATTACTGAAAAATACTTCCTAACATCCCTTTGATTCATCTGAGTCTTCAATTTCCCAAATTGTGACCTTTGTGTCTGTGTCCCCTCTCTGGAACACCCCGTCTTTGTCCACCTTGTCTATTCCGCGCAGTATTTTATATGTCGTTATCATGTCTCCCCTGACCCTCCTGTCCTCCAGTGTCTCAGGCCGATTTCCCTCAACCTTCTTCGTGGGACAATCCCCGTAGCTCTGGGACTAGTCTTTTGAAAACCTTGCACTTTCTCTAATTTCTTGACGTGCTTGACTAGGTGTGGTTTCCCAAAACTGGTGCTGCTACTCCAGTATGGGCCTACGTAAATGGTATACAGGGGTCTTAAACGAATCCTTACTGAGGTATCGGAACGCTATCCGTGGGTTTGCCAGCCCCGTATTTGCAGCAGTTATCTGATTGATGTGCGCCTCAGGAGAAATGCTCGGTGTTATACCACCCCCAGATCTTTTTCCTTGAGTGAGTTGCAGTCTTTGGCCAACTAAACTATATTTGTCTGGGTCTTCTTTGCCCTTCCCCAATCTTCATGACTGCATTTGGCAGGGTTAAATTCAAGGAGCCAGTTGCTGGACCAGGCTTGTAGCCTGTCCAGTCTCTTTGTAGTCCTGCCTGATCCTCATCCGATTTGATTCTTCTCATTAACTTCGCATCATCTGCAAACAAGGGCACTTCGAGTCTATCCCTTCCGTTATTCGTTCACATATACCAAGAACAGCACAGGTCCTAGGGCTGACCCCTTGGAAACCCCGCTTGTCACAGGCGGGCCCCCTCTGACACCTCGTCGCGTACTATGACTCGTTGTTGCCTCCCTGTCAGGATTCTCTGATCCATTGCAGTGCCTTTCCTGTTATTGTGGGCCCGATCCTCTAGCTTTTGCAGTAACCTCTTTTGAGGAACTGTGTCGAAGGCCTTCTTGCAGTCCAAAATATCAGTCGATCCACCCCTCCTCTCTTGTCTTACTTCTGTCACCTTGTCATAAAAAATCTAGTAGGTTTGTGACACAGGATTTTCCTTCCCCGAAACCATGCTGGTTGTCAATTATAACACTTGTTTCTTTTCCCGGTGCTCCACCACCTCCTCCTGATGACTTCTCCATGACCTGCATACTATACACGTTTGTGATACAGGTCGTAGTTTTTGTGCCTCATGCTGTCTCCTTTTAAAAATTGGGGCACATT